TCCCGGTCCTCAAACACTCTCTGCTTCATTCGGGAAAATGCTGCACTCGCAGAGCTCAGGCAGTGTTGTATTTCGGTGGCGATATTGATTTTGGTACAAGGGAGCGGAAATGGTCAACATTTTCTAATGTTACCCCATTAAGCTGTATCTCTGGCATTGGGGAGATGGCTGGTGACTGCTGGAACAGCACTTTAGTTTTCTCAATGTTCAGTGACAGGCCAAGCTTCGTGTATGCTTCTGCGAAGGTGTTTAGAGTGGCTTGTAGATCTTCCTCTGAATGCGCACAGACGACATTGTCATCAGCATACTGGAGTTCTATAACAGATGTTGTTGTAACCTTGGTTTTGGCTTTCAGTCTGCTGAGGTTAAACAGCACCTCTTTAAAAAAGGGGAAAGAACAGACTGCGGAAACTATCGAGGTATCTCCCTTCTAACCTCAGCTGGGAAAATCCTCACAAGAATCCTTGCAAACCGCCTTCTGCCCCTCTCAAAGACACCCTCCCAGAATGGCTTCCGCCCCTCCAGGGGAACCGTGGACATGATCTTCACTGCACGACAGCTCCAAGAAAAATGCAGAGAACAAAATCTGTACATGGCATTCATTGACCTTGCAAAGGCATTCGACACAATGAATCGCAGAGCTCTCTGGACCATCCTCCACAAAATCAGGTGCCCAAACAAATTTGTGAACATCCTGCGGCTTCTCCATGATGACAACAGTCTTGGACAGCAGTGGCTCCCAAAGTGACCCATTTAAGGTAGAATCGGGTATCAAACAGGGATGTGTTATTGCCCCAACTCTATTCTCCATCTTCATTGCTATGATACTTCACCTTGTTGATGGGAAGCTTCCCACCGGAGTGGAAGTCATCTATCGGACAGAGGTATATTTCTATCTGATGTATGGATCTGTGTAGGTATGGACTTAGGTATAAAGGTATGGATCTATGAAGGTATGGATCTGTGTAGATATGGGTCTGCATAGGTATGGATCTGTGTAGGTATGAAGATATGGATCTGTATAGATTCGGGTCTGCGTAGGTATAGATCTATATGGGTATGACAGTACTGATCTATGAAGGTATGGATCTGTGTAGATATGGGTCTATCTCAGTGTTTCTCAACTTGGAGTTTGGGACCCCTGGCAGGGTCGTGAGGGGGGTCGCCAAAGATCACCAGAAACACATATCTGATGGTCTCAGGAACCCTTTTGGTAGAGAAGGCTGAAGATCTCTCCACCTGCCCTTCTCCTTTTTGGTGTTGGTGATCCCAGAATTTAAAAAAAAACAGCCCAGTCCCCCCCACCCTAACCCCACCAGTATTCAATATTGGCCATATAGGTAGTGTGCCAAGTTTGGTGCAGATCTATTGAGGGCTGGGTTCAGAGTGCTCTTTGATTGTAGGTAAACTATAAATCCCAGCAACTACAACTCTCAAATATCAAGGTCTATTTTCCCCAAACTTCACCAGTGTTCACATTTGGACATTTTGAGTATTCGTGCCAAGTTTCGTCTAGATTCATCATTGTTTTGAGTCCACAGTGCTCTCTGGATGTAGGTGAACTACAACTCCAAAACTCAAGGTCAGTGCCCACCAAATTTTTCCAGTATTTTCTGTTGGTTATGGTATTTGTGTGCCAAGATGAGTTTAATTCCATCATTGGTGGGCTTCAGAATGCTCTTTGATTGTAGGTGAACTATAAATCCCAGTAACTACAACTCCCAAATGACAAAATCCAAAACGTGACAACTAATATTTATCTTTACAAAATGCCGAACTTGGGCATTGCTGGGGACTTCAATTAATTTATAATAAAAATACTACGTTCCCTCCCTGAACTACAAATCCTAACATTGCATGACAATCAATGGGGAATAACTGTTGGCATCGTAATAAAATAGCAGTAAATACAAAACACAGCAAAGTATTCACAGCCCAATCAGCTATACGGGTAAATCAGTTCTGGGTTTTAGTCCAAATGTTAAAATAGGCCATATCCAAAGTGCTGGAAATTTCCATTCCAAAATGATTTCGCAGCTCTACTGCTTTATGAGAGCTCTCATAAGTCATATTAGCAGTGCTGAGGGGTCCTGCCAAATCAGCATATAATAATAATAATAATAATAATAGGTGACAGCAGGATTGAAGAAACAACGGGAAAAGATGACACGATATGAGGTTTTAAAGATTGAACTGCAAAGACTCTGGCACAAACCAGTAAAGATGGTCCCAGTGGTGATTGGCACATTGGGTGCAATGCCTAAAGACCTTGGCCTGCACTTAAAAACAATCGGCGCTGACAAGACGTGTGATCCAATACAACAGCCAGCAGAGTGACTGCTGTGGATTCATCTTGTTATGTTTCAAATAATAATAATAATAATAATAATAATAATTGGTAAAGGTAGGTAAAGATTTTCCCCTGACATTAAGTCCAGTTGAGTCTGACTCTGGAGGCTGGTGCTCATCTCCATTTCTAAGCCAAAGAGCCGGCGTTGTCCGTAGACACCTCCAATTTATTTATTTCCGTCACTTTTTCCCCGCCCTTCTCACCCCCGAGGGGGGACTCAGGGCGGCTTACAGAGGAAGGCACAATTCGATGCCTTTGTCACATATACATACATATATAAGCAAATTAAACAATTACACATTAGAGATTAAAAACATCACTACACAACAATACAGTAACACAGTAATAGACTAATCCTGAGCTCAGCGTTCGGAGTTTCGTAAATCCGTTCCGTCTCGTCAAATTCCAGCTTGTCATCAGGTCTTTCTTTAGCAAGGTCACGTGGTCACTGGCATGACCGCATGGAGCGCCGTTACCTTCCCACTGGAGCGGTACCTATTGATCTACTCACATTTGCATGTTTTCGAACTGCTAGGTTGGCAGAAGCTGGGGCTGACAGCAGAAGCTCACCCTGCTCCCTGGATTTGAACCTGCGACCTTTCGGTCAACAAGTTCAGCAGCTCAGTGCTTTAACCCACTGCGCCACTGGGGGCTCCTAATAATAATAATAATAACTAGCTGTGCCCTGCCACGCGTTGCTGTGGCCTATAGTAAAACTTATCAAAGTTGAGGTAGATATCTGGACTATTATGAGAGAGGTCCCTACCTATTCCTTCCCCCTTTTCCTCCCTCTTTCTCTCCTTTCTTCCTTCTCTACCTCTTTCTTTCTTTCACTACTTGGTTTCATCCTTCTCTCTTTCCTTCATTCCCTCCCCCTTTCTTCCTTTGCCTTTCTTCCCTCCCTGTTTGCTTCCTTCTTTCACTTTTTATTTCCTTTTATTTCACCACCATCATAACAATAACAATAATGCAATGCATTGCCTCTGGGACCTGACACCTCTCCCATTCCCCCTAAAAGGATCTCATAGGAATAATAGCATCATAATAATCATACACCTCTCACATTCCCCCTAAAAGGCTCTCATAGGAACAATAGCATAATAATAATAATAGAAATAACAACCTTTACCCGCCACGTGTAGCTGTGGCCAATCTTCCCTCTTTCTCTCCTTCTTTCCCTCCTTCCTTCCTTCCCTCCCATCTTTCCTTCTCCTCTTCTTTCTCTATCTCTTTCCTTCCTTCCTCCTCCTTCCTTCCTTTCCACTTTCATTCCTTTCCTCTTTTTTATTTTCTCCTTCCTTCTTTTCCTCCCTTTGTCCTTCCTTCCCCTTTTCTTTACCTCCCTTTCTCTTTCTTCCTTCTTTCCTTCCTTCCTGTCTTTCCTAGATTTTGACAGGGCGGGTAGGGGCGGGGGGGGGGTTGGAGGTGGCGTGAAGTAAAAGGAGGTAAGATTGGGGGGGGGGGGGATGGAGCGTGGGGTTGTGTGTGTGTGTGCAGCGGCGGGGAGGAATGGGGGTGGGGTTGCGTGTGTGTGTGCGGCGGGGGGGAGTGGGTGGGGTTGCGTGTGTGCGGCGGCGGGGGAGTGATGGAGTGTGGGGTTGCGTGTGTGTGTGCGGCGGCGGGGGGAGTGGGGTTGCGTGTGTGTGTGCGGCGGCAGGGGGAGTGATGGAGTGTGGGGTTGTGTGTGTGTGTGCGGCAGGGGGTGTGTGTGTGCGGGAAGCGGCGCGGCGGGGCTTGGAGTGGGCATGGTTTCCGCAGAGGGAACGTTGGCCGGAAGGCCATGTGCGCGCGCCAGGGAACTTGCGGCTGGGCGCCAATGCGCATGCTCAGTTGTTTTGCCGTTTTGTGAGGGTGTGTTGTGTTGTTTTTCATTTTGAGTAGATATGTTTGTACCTTGTGGGTTGTGTTATGGGCATGGGAATTTTGGTTAAGTTTCGTTGGGGGGTTGAGTTTTGTTGTTTTGCCGTTTTGTGAGTGTGTTGTTGTGTTGTTTTTCATTTTGAGTAGATATGTTTGTACCTTGTGGGTTGTGTTATGGGCATGGGAATTTTGGTTAAGTTTTGTTGGGGTTTTTTTGAGTTTTGTTCTTTTGCCGTTTTGTGAGTGTGTTGTTGTGTTGTTTTTCATTTTGAGTAGATATGTTTGTACCTTGTGGGTTGTGTTATGGGCATGGGAATTTTGGTTAAGTTTTGTTGGGGTTTTTTTGAGTTTTGTTGTTTTGCCGTTTTGTGAGTGTGTTGTTGTGTTGTTTTTCATTTTGAGTAGATATGTTTGTACCTTGTGGGTTGTGTTATGGGCATGGGAATTTTGGTTAAGTTTCGTTGGGGGATGTTTGAGTTTTGTTCTTTTGCCGTTTTGTGAGTGTGTTGTTGTGTTGTTTTTCATTTTGAGTAGATATGTTTGTACCTTGTGGGTTGTGTTATGGGCATGGGAATTTTGGTTAAGTTTCGTTGGGGGGTTTTTGAGTTTTGTTTCTCCGTTGGATGCCCCTAACAAATTTATATATATAGATAATAGTGTTTGGACAAAAATGCAGAGTGGCTTCACTTACTCCAGGATAGAAGATGCAAATACAAATGTATAAAGAGAAATCAAACGTTTTTGTTTCTGTTTCGATCCAAGACCCTTTCACATAGACAGCCACACAGCCTTAAAGATATTACTGTAAATGCTTTATTTGGGGGTGGTTTTTTTTTCTTGTTTCGTTTATTAAAAACCTGTATTAATAGCTAAACAAGGCTAAATCCGTTATCTGGACCGTAACAAAAAAAAAAATGATTCCCAATAAGAGGGTACATTCTACCAAGGAGACTAATTCCCTCCCTCCATCCCTCCCCTCCGCAATTCATCGAAAAGGAAATTAAGACACACAATGGCACATTTCCGCTACGAATTCCTCATCCCTGTTTAGACACTCCATTCGCTCTCTTTGACACAAGCAAACACACATACAAACAAACAAAGGGTGAGAAAGGGAATGCAAACTGTACCGAAATATTCCGAATTTCTTGCAAAGTCGTCATTGGGGAGAAAGGAATGACCCATTAACTTTGCGCAAAACTCCGTTATCTAAGACTGGATCTTATCTTAGGCCGAGACCAAATGATTTGAGATACACACGCACACACACATATACACACATACATACATGACCTTCTTTATATTTTCCAGCCTTTCCTAGGCACAAAAGGCCCAGGAAGAAGGATTGGGAAAAAAACACATCCACACTGCAGAATCTGTCGCAGTTTGATACCGCTTTAACTGTCGTGACAGAATTCTGAGACTTCTCTATACATCCCAGAATGTTATGACAGTTAAAGGGGTTTCGATGCGCTGCAATGGGCAAGTATGGACGCATCACGAGGACTGGGGAGATTGTGGACTACAAATCCCATATGAGACATAATGGTCCCAACCTCTTTTTTTTTGGCACCGGAATTGAGTCGAAGGAATGTGAATGAAAAACCCAACAAGAAATAAAAACAAAGTGGGGAAAGGGAAGTGGGTTCGAATGACAGACGAAAGACCTTCCAATGGAAGAAGTAACGAAACCAATGAAGGATGAAACGTGAGCAACGCAAGCCTTGGTTCTGATCAGAAATGGGAATTGAGGTCGCCCTTTCAGTCATTCTGGACTGCAAGGCCAAGCGTTCGGCACCTTCGCGCTCCAAAAACATCCAAACACACACTAGACTTACCCTGTTCATACCAATCCAAAAGTGAAATTAAACCTGAATTGCAAAACCCATCGTATCCCAAGAAATGGCAAAGAGAGGATGGGACTTGTAGTCCCACTTGGAGGGGCTCCAAATAGCTTTGTTTCAAGAAGCCGCGAACTGCATGCAGCTAAGAGAGAAATCATGCAGATGTCCGAAAGCAATCATTAACTCCCCCGAACTGGCTGTGCAGAGGAAGGGATGATAGGTTTTGCAATCCAATCTAGGCTCTGTATACTTTTCCTGTTAAAAGAAGACTTTTTGGGTGGAGAAACATACCTTACAAAGTGACCAAAATCCTGCCCGAATGTCCGAAAAATTCATATTTTCCTCGAAACATTGAGACGAATACAAACAGCAAAGCAGGAAAAGGACGTGAATTCTGACATTATTTTTTTCTGGTTCAAGCACCAAGGTTTGTTTGTGCATCGAAGTTTCCCCAAAGTCTGCTTTTCCCCACAAAGTGGACCCCAACTCGCTCAAAACCCCAAAAGACTTCATAAGAAGAATCCTTCAAGAAAAAGACCATCAAATAAAAGGAAAACCCTTAGAAAAAAAGTCATTTTCCCAGACCCCGAAAAGGCAGGATTTGGCCCCAAAAAGGAGCTTTCGGGGAGGAGGCTCAGTACCGATTCCGTCCGGTTTCCCAATCCAAAGGCTCTGGAAATAGGTCAAAATACTTATGTGTTATTGTCCCGCGGGAAAAACAAAAAATCATACAATAAAAGGATTCCGAGGTTCCAAAGATCCTATATAAAATGCTGCTTGTTTTCCTAAGAGCTCATTGTGAGGCTTCGCTCCAAAGAAATGGCGCCAACTCGGTTCCGTTCTTTCCTTGCGTTCCAAAAACGGAGGATGATTAAGAGGCGCCACGGGTTCCTTTCGCGCAACGCAACTGGCCCGTCGTAAACGCATGGCACAGGCTTTTTTCCGAGAAAGACGGATTGAGAGGCAAATTCAGAAACGTACCAAAAACGAGAAGGTTTTTGAGTTCAAGGTAATAATCCCACTTGTTGTCGATCCTTGCGTAATAATGGAGAAACGGCAAAAATGCGTCTTTCAAAGAGTTTGTCGCAAAATCAAGTCCCAAGTCGCTTCTGCCTCCTTCCAATGACTTCTCCGCCTCTGTAATAGGAAATTATATTATTGTTGTAGTTATTACACTATATAACACAATTGGGGAGAAAAATCTGTTCCTGGATTGAAATATTTCCTGTTTAATTATAGGGTCCTTACACTGAAAGTAACTGTTCCTATTCCAGAAACTTAAGTTTTTGTGGCGCAAACTATGTCAAATTAGTGAAGACTCAATGAGATATTTTGTTGAAAAACTCGCAAAATGTGCTGCAGGATGATTTATTTATTTACTTCATTTCTACCCCAGCTTTCTCGACCTGAGAAGGGAGATTCAAGGCGGATAACAAATATGGCAAAAATTAAATGCCGCACAGGTAAACAATAAAACACATCTCATAAAAATATAAACAATCTATGTGATGTATTGTCGAAGGCTTTCATGGCCAGAATCACTGGGTTGTTGTAGGCTTTTTCGGGCTATATGGCCATGGTTTAGAGGCATTCTCTCCTGACGTTTCGCCTGCATCTATGGCAAGCATCCTCAGAAGTAGTGAGGTCTGTTGGAACTAGGAAAATGGGTTTATATATCTGTGGAATGACCAGGGTGAGACAAAGGACTCTTGTCTGCTGGAGCTAGGTGTGACTGTTTCAACTGACCACCTTGATTAGCATATAATGGCCTGACAGTGCCTGGAGCAAACTTTTGTTGAGAGGTGATTAGATGTCCTTGTTTGTTTCCTCTCTCTTGTGCTGTTGTAATTTTAGAGTTTTTTAATACTGGTAGCCAGAGGAGTTTGGGACAGAGAGCAGCGCCGCCCCAGCTGATCTTAAAGCTCTTCTAGGCTTATAGAAGGAGATACATGGGGAAGGTGTTGTTGAAGGCCAGAATCATTGGGTTGCTGTGAGTTTTCCGGACTGTATGTCTATGTTCCAGAAGCATTCTCTCCTGATGTTTTGCCTACATTTATGGCAGGCTTCCCGGGAGGTTGAGGGGTCTGTTGGAAACTAGGCAATTGATTCTTGTTGGGAATTCCCGTTTTTTGAGTGTCGCTCTTTATGAAGCCAGCCGTAGCACAGCACCTGATGAACCAACCTGGACACAGAGTGTTATTTGAGAACACAGAAATGCTGGACCACTCTAACAACCACCATGTCAGACTACACAGAGAAGCCAGTGAAATCCACAATTTCAACAGGAAGGAGGAAACCATGGACATGAACAAAATCTGGCTTCCAGTATTTTTTTAAAAAAACTCTAAAGCATGACAGTAATTAAAGAACAACACTCAGAAAACAGGGGAATTCCTGACAACTAACACCTCCCAACAAAGGATTCCCCCAGGCAGGAAACAGCCAGGTTTTGAAGCTGCAAGGCGATTCAATGCTCATCAAGGTGGCCAATTGAAACATTCACACTTGCCTCAAACAGACAAGAGTTCTTTCTCCCAGCCTGGACAATATTCCACAGATATAACCCTCACTTGCCTAGTTTCCAACAGACCTTATAACTTCTGAGGATGCCTGCCATAGATGTGGGCAAAACGTCAGGAGAGAATGCTTTTGGAACATGGCCATACAGCCCAGAAAACTCACAGTAACCCAGTAATTCTCACCATGAAAGCATTCAACAGCACAGAATAGTAACAGTAAAATAATAATAATGATAGTAATAATAATAATGATGATGATGATGATGATGGACTCAGGTAGAAGACCAGGTGAATGGACTTTGGGCTCAGGTAAAATAATAGTAATAATAATGGACTCATGTAGAAGGTCAGGTGAATGGACTTTGGGCTCTGGTAATAATGTTATAATGGACTCACGTAGAAGAACGTGAATGAACTTTGGGCTCAGGTAAAACAATAATAATAAGTAGAAGAATAGGTGAATGGACCTTGTTGCTCAGGTAACAACAACAACAGACTTTGGTAGGATAGGTAAATAATAACAACAACAACAACTATAATAATAGACTTTGGTAGAAGGACAGGTGAATGGACCGGAAAACTCACAGCAACCCAGTGATTCCGGCCATGAAAGTCTTCAACAATACATCCCCTATGTTTTTATGATAGAACCAATTGGGAAATAACACAGGGACAAATATGTTACATGGTGCCGTCTTGGTCCGTACCTCATTTAATTAGGATCCCCGGAGAACGAGAATCGTCCTCATTGACGTTCCTCCGGTTTCTCTCCGTTTCTTCCGAAGGCCTGAAAGACAGTGAAAAAAAACACTGTATTAGTTTGGCTTATAAGATGCTTCTCTGAAATGCTCAGGGCCAGAAGCATTTCCTATTTTGAGTTTCGGTTGTTACCAGAAGAAAAAGAAGGGGAGCATTCCAAACTCCCAATACTCCCGTTTCGCCGGAGAGACTTACGCCAAATAGTCCTTCACTTCCTCCGCCGTGATGTCTCCCGTCATATCCAGAGGGGTGTCGATGCTGTTATTGGGGGAGTCGACCGGCGTCGGGGAAAAGGACGCTTGGTGCTCTTCGGGAGATCCTTAAAGAAGCAGAGTGATATGCATAAAGCAGGGATCCTCAAACCATGGCCCACGGGCCAGAATTAGCCCGACAAGAGATTTCCCTGGCCCTAAACTTTAGACTCACTGCTACCGCTACCCTCTTCTTGCTTCCTTAACCCTCCTTTCCTTTCCTCTCATTGCCTTCCTCCAAAATGGACAGATACTCTCCAGACTTTCTTGCTCCTTCCAAAATGGAGAGGAGAAAAAGGAAAGAAGGAAGGAAGAAAAAGAGGTAGGAAAAAGAGAGGGAATGAGAAAAAGAAGGTAGAGAAAAGAGGGATGAAAGAGAAGAAATGAGATGGAAAGGTAGATAGGAAAAATAAGTAAGGAAGTGTGGCAGAGTGGGTTTAACCTCGAACGGTGGCTCTGAACCCACTGGATGACTTGAGGCAAGTTTATTTAATATTTATTTACTTCGCTTATATACCGCTCTTCTCAGCCTTTCTCAGGCGACACAGAGCAGTTAACAACATCAATGCAAAACATCACAAGATAAGAATAAAGCAATTAAAACAATTTATAACATCAACAATTAAACATTAGTCCCACAATCTCAGCCTCAGAGGAAGACACAGGCAAATCCCCTATAAATTAATCTGAACCAGAAAACTATTTGAGAGGGCTGCCTTGGGGCTGCCCTGAGCCTGAAACGACCTGAAGGCACACAACAACAACAACAACAACATCCTATAGCCAGTCTGAGGGACCCTAAACTGGCCCTCTGTTTAAAAATGATGAGGACTCCTAGCATAGAGTTTAACTGGTCTGAAATCCTACTACTGGTCCCAAGAGTTTTGTTGCTTTCATACATCTTCATGTACTTTATTTATTTACTAGCCATCCCCTGCCATGCGTTGCGGTGGCCCACATGGGGGTTCTGTGTGGGAGGTTTGGCCCAATTCTATCATTGGTGGGGTTCAGAATGCTCTGTGATTGTAGGTGAACTATAAATCCTAGCAACTACAACTCCCAAATGTCAAGATTCTATTTTCCCCAAACTCCACCAGTGTTCACATTTGGGCATATTGAGTATTTGTGTAGAGTTTGGTCCAGATCCATCATTGTTTGAGTCCACAGTGATATCTGGATGTAGGTGAACTACAACTCCAAAACCAAAGGACACTGCCCACCAAACCCTTCCAGTATTTTCTGTTGGTCATGGGAGAACTGTGTGCCAAGTTTGGTTCAATTCCATCGTTGGGGGAGTTCAGATGCTCTTTGATTGTAAGTGAACTATAAATCCCAGCAACTACAACTCCCAAATGACAAAATCATTTTTTTGAGTGAAGGACATACATTGGGTTGTTAGGTGTCATGTGTCCAAATTTGGTGTCAATTCGTCCAGTGGTTTTTGAGTTCTGTTAATCCCACAAACGAACATTACATTTTTATTTATATAGATTATTAACACTTGTATCCCGTCCTATTCTTGATTTCTGAAGAGAGACTCAGGATGGCTTCCAACAACATAAAAACACCAATAAAATACACAATTACATAAAATGATAATAAATATACATTTAAAAACAGTTCACTAAGTTTAAAACATGCTCCTAATCAGTCCCAAAAATGTGGTCCATACAATCTCATCTAAGCCAATAAAACCATATATTCTGTAAATTCTTGCTCCCACGGCCAAGTCTTAAGTGTCTTGCGAAATGTCAGGAGTGAGGGAGGGAGAAGATGTAACCTCTTTAGGGAGGGAGTTTCACAGCCGAGGGGCCACCACAGAGAAGGCCCTGTCTCTCGTCCCCACCAAACGCGACAGGAGCCCCCGGTGGCGCAGTGGGTAAAACCCTTGTGCCGGCAGGACTGAAGACCAACAGGTTACAGGTTCAAATCTGGAGAGAGGTAGATGAGCTCCCTCTATCAGCTCCAGCTCCTCATGCGGGGACATGAGAGAAGTCTCCCACAAGGATGATAAAAACATCGAATCATCTGGGTGTCCCCTGGGCAACGTCCTTGCAGACGGCCCATTCTCTCACACCAAAAGCAACTTGCAGTTTCTCAAGTCACTCCTGACACAACAAAAAATAAAAACAAAAAACCAAACGCGACTGCGATGGTGGCAGGACCGAGAGCAGGGCCTCTCCAGATGATCTTAAAGTCCTTGATGGTTCATACGGAGAGACACATTCAGATAGGTAAAGTGGGCCAGAGCCATTTAGGACTTTATAGGTCAAAACCAGCACTTTGAATTGTGCCTGGAAGCTAATAGGCAGCCAATGTAGCTGGTGTAACAAGGGTGTTGTGCGCTCTCTGTATCCTGCTCCCGTAAGTAACCTGGCTGCCGAGCGCTGGCGTAGCTGAAGCTTCCGAGCAATCTTCAGAGGCAACCCCAAATAGAACATTTTGCAGTAGTCTATTTGGGATGTAAAAAGAGCATGGACTACCATGGCCAAGTCAGACCTCCCAAGAGGTGGGCGCAGCTGGCGCACAAGTTTTAGTTGTGCAAAAGCTCCCCTGGCCACCGCCGAAACCTGGGATTCCAGGCTCAACAATGAATCCAGGAGAACTCTCAAGCTGCAAACCTGCGCCTTTCTTACTGTCCTGACCATAAGGAAATGACATCCTATGCATAATCTGGACCTGGGAGTCACTCTGGACCGTGCTCTTACCTACAAGAAGCACTGCCTGAACATCAAGCAAAAAGTGGGTGCCAGAAACAATATCATACGAAAGCTGACTGGCACAACCTGGGGATCACAACCAGACACAGTGAAGACATCTGCCCTTGCGCTGTGCTACTCTGCTGCTGAGTATGCATGCCCAGTGTGGAACACATCTCACCACACTAAAACAGTGGATGTGGCTCTTAATGAGACATGCCGCATTATCACAGGGTGTCTGCGCCCTACACCACTGGAGAAATTACACTGCTTAGCCGGTATTGCACCACCTGACATCCGCCGAGGAAGTAGCAGCCAATAGTGAAAGGACCAAGGCAGAGACATCTCCAGCTCATCCCCTGTTTGGGTATCAGCCAGCACGTCAACGACTTAAATCTAGAAATAGTTTTCTAAGATCTACAGAGATACTCGCTGGAACACCTCAGCAAGCGAGAGTCCAAAAGTGGCAGGCTCAAACCCAGAACCTCAACCAATGGCTGATACCAAATGAGAGACTCCCCCCTGGGCACACAGAAGATGGAGCGACTTGGAAGGCGCTGAACAGACTGCGCTCTGGCACCACGAGATACAGAGCCAACCTCAAGAAATGGGGCCACAAAGTGGAATCCACGACATGCGAGTGCGGAGAAGAGCAAACCACTGACCACCTGTTGCAATGCACCCTGAGCCCTGCCACATGCACAATGGAGGACCTTCTTGCGGCAACACCAGAGGCACTCCAAGTGGTCAAATACTGGTCAAAGGACATTTAATCAATTACCAAATTTGCAAAATCTGTGTTTTTTTAATCTGTTTGTTTGTTTTGTTCTGTTAGAAATGTAATACAATGGTATGGTTGCTGATGACATGATACATAAATAAATAATCCCATGCATAATCTGGATGTGATTGGCAAATGGACACAGGGCCATGTAGTTACCAAATGGGTAGGAACTGGAACGTTTTATTAGCATGCAATAAAGTCCAATTGCTCAGAAATGGCTCGAAGGCACACGGCAACAACACAAAGTGACTCTTTATAGAGAATTTAGCTGCCATTATTGGGAGGAAGTAAAGTAAATGAATATAATACATTTAGGACAGCCAAGCAAGGATAACCCAACTTTCAAACCCAAGGTTTGATTCAGGACGCCGTCAATCGGTTTGGCTAGACTGTAAAAGCAACGGTCACAGATCTGAAAAATGGGCTTCGCTTACGTTCGATGCTGGAGAGGGAGCGATTAGGGTCCGAACTCCGAACGATGTGGGTCCCGTTGGCCTGGTTCAGTTTGGGCGTCAAGGCATAGTTGTTCCTGAAAGAGCAAGGAAGCGGTGTTGGCCATTCTGGTTTGAAAAGAGGGTCAAGACTGCAATGGGTAAAAGTTTTCTCAACAACAACAATATTTTATCATGGTCCAAAGATCCTTATTGCACCCTAGGTGTACAAGGAATGCAGGTAATGAAATTAAGAACATCCGGTTGATTAAACACACAAATGGATACAATTTACAACAGTTAAAAACTGCTTAAAATATATAATGGCTAAAAACATAGGTAAAAGAATACAACAGTGTTTCTCAACCTGGGGGTCGGGACCCCTGGAGGGGTTGTGAGGGGGTGTCAGAGAGGTCGCCAAAGACCATCAGAAAATAGTATTTTCTGTTGGTCATGGGGGTTCTGTGTGGGAAGTTTGGCCCAATTCTAACCTTGGTGGGGTTCAGAATGTTCTTTGATTATAGGTGAACTATAAATCCCACCAACCACAACTCCAAAATGTCAAGTCTATTTTCCCCAAACTCCACCAGAGTTCACATTTGGACATACTGATTTTCATGCCAAGTTTGGTCCAGATCCATCATTGTTTTGAGTCCACAGTGCTCTCGGGATGTAGGTGAACTATAACTCCAAAACTCAAGGTCAATGCCCACCAAACCCTTCTAGTGTTTTCTACTGATCATAGGAGTGCTGTGTGCCAAGTTTGGTTCAATTCCATCTTGGGTGGAGTTCAGAATGCTCTTTGATTGTAGGTGAACTATAAATCCCAGCAACTACAACTCCCAAATGATGAAATCAATCCCCCCGCCCAACCTCACCAGTATTCAAATTTGGGCATATCAGGTCTTTGTGCCAAATTTGGTCCAGTGAACGAAAATACATCCTGCATATCAGATATTTACATTATGCTTCATAAGAGTGGCAAAATTACAGTTGTGAAGTAGTAATGAAAATAATGTTATGGTTGGGGGTCACCACAACCTGAGGAACTGTATTAAGGGATTGCAGCATTAGGAAGGTTGAGAACCACTGGACTACAAGAAGTACCGCTGTGTTTCAGAAAGAAACGTGGCAATCGCCAAGGTCACATGGAGAAGGCTGTCACTAGGTAGAAACTTCACATAAAATATGCTCGCAAGTTTCTTAGTAGGGGGTTGATTATGTATGCTCTGACCTGTGCATAGAAATTGCATGGCAATACAATGTGGTAGATGCAATCTACTTCCTGTTTGTTACACGGCCAGAGACTTTTATCACATGGAGTACCTGCAAATCTTCCATGCAGCAATTCAGACAGGAGCACATTGCACCTTGCTTTGGAAAATAGGCAGAGCATTTGGCCACAGTTGAGTTCTTTAGATAGTTTGCTGCATGGAAAGGCCCAACATAATGTATGGCCAGGGCACTTGGGGAACAAGATCCCTAAGAGCAAGAGCGCAGCTCACAAAAAGCAAACATGGCTCTCAAATCAATCTCTGGTTGATTGATTTAAGAGTCAAGTCAAAACCCAGATGAGTTTGGACGGATGCGGAAAGGCCGACGGAGGAGGCTTTCTAAGAATTGATCTTTTCTCAAATGCTTTTTGGGGAACCTGACTGACCCAAGGCAAGTGGCATCGTGGCTGCGGCTCGTGTCCAAAACGCAAAGCGGCTCCGTGATGTTCCTGGTGCTCAAGGAGAAGCGCTCAAACTCGGAGGGAGAAATCAGGTAAAAGCCTGGAAAGAGAAAGAAAAATATGGAAGGTCTTTTCAAATTGTTGTAAGCCACCAATCTGGGAAGAGATGGGCTGGATAAATGATAAGTAGATAGAAAAGATGGATATATTTGTATGCCAGAAAGTTACAACTGGTAGATACAATTGGCTCCTGTGAATTGACAGCAGTTAGTTTTATCTACCGTTGTTTTAAAATTGTTTTGATTTTATGCTACATGTGTTGACAGGTTGGTGTTACAATTTTATGTGGCGTGTTTTATACTTTTGTACCATTTTTACCTGTTGTATGTTATATGTGCACCCCGGAGTGCCTTGTAATTTGCTTATAGGAAAGGTAACGATGATACACAGACACAACAGACAGATTGGATGTATGGATAAATAAATACAATCTATATAAATAAAAATGTAATCTTTGTGGGATTAATATAACTCAAAAACCACTGGATGAATTGACACCAAATTTGGACACAATACACATATCAGGCCAATGAGTGACCATCACTCATAAAAAACACTGAAAAACACAGTAGAAGAGACTTAAAAAGCCAAAAAGTAAAAAAAAAATTCAATACATGCACAAAACCATATATATATATATACACACACACTCATACACACACAAAGCACATATACACAGACTGGGTACAGCAATGCGTGGCAGGGGACAGCTAGTGGATAGATACATAAGATAAGAGATGATAGCTAAATACAATACCTAGATAGATAGATAGATAGATAGATAGATAGACAGACAGACAGATAGATAGATAGATGACAGAATGGATAAATACAAAGGGAAAATACAATAGATAGAATGATATGATAGAATATAAATAGGTGACAGACAGCTAGACATACACCTGATGGACAAATAAATTTATTATTGATTTTATTTATTTAATACACTTGTATACCGCTAATATCTCAGCCTAAATCGGCGACTCATTGCGGTTTACAACAATTAAAAACAATGTACAATTTAAAACAACAACACATAAACAATACAAATTATTGGGCCACCAATAATAATACCATGCTTCTCGTCACAAAAAATCACAGTCCAGAGTTCGTCATCCATAATTAACCAGTCCTTAGTCCATAAATTCGTGGTAACAAACTAATTGAATGCTTGTTTACACAACCATGTTTTTAATCTCTTCCGAAAGACCATCAGCGAAGAGGCTGATCGTATCTCTATAGGGAGGGTGTTCCAAAGCCGAGGGGCCACCACAGAGAAGGCCCTGTCTCTCGTTCCCGCCAGCCGCACTTGGGAAGCCGGTGGGATAGAGAGCAGGGACTCTCCAGAAGATCTTAGGGTCCTGGTGGGCTGATAGGCTGAGATACGTTCGGATAGATAAGTTGGGCCAGAACCGTTTAGGGCTTTAAAGGCCAAAACCAGCACTTTGAATTGAGCCCGGTAGCATATCGGCAGCCAGTGGAGCTGGTGCAGCAGAGGAGTTGTGTGCTCCCTGCGCCCCGCTCCTGTTAGTACCATGGCTGCCGCCCGTTGGACTAGTTGGAGCTTCCGGGCTGTCTTCAAAGGCAACCCCACGTAGAGAGCGTTGCAGTAATCAAGGCGGGATGTAACCAGAGCGTGGACTACCGTGGCTAAGTCGGACTTCCCAAGGTACGGTCGCAGTTGGCGCACAAGTTTTAACTGTGCGAATGCTCCCCTGGTCACCGCCGAAACCTGGGGTTCCAGGCTCAGCGATGAGTCCAGGATCACACCCAAACTGCGAACCTGTGTCTTCAGGGGGAGTGCGACCCCATCCAACACAGGCTGTAACCCTATACCCTGTTCGGCCTTACGACTAACCAGGAGTACCTCTGTCTTGTCTGGATTCAATTTCAATTTGTTCGCCCTCATCCAGACCGTCACAGCGGCCAAGCACCGGTTCAGGACCTCGACAGCCTCCTTAGTAGCAGGTGGAAAGGAGTGACAGAGTTGGACATCATCCGCGTACAGATGACATCGTACTCCGAAACTCCGGATGATCTCGCCCAGCGGCTTCATGTAGATGTTAAACAACATGGGAGACAGTATTGAACCCTGAGGAACCCCACAAAACAAAGGTTGTGGGGTTGAGCAGGAGTCTCCCAGTAACACCTTCTGAGACCGACCCTCGAGGAATGAGTGGAGCCACTGCAGAACAGTACCTCCCAGACCCATCCCCGCGAGGCGTCCCAGAAGGATACCGTGGTCGACGGTATCGAAAGCCGCTGAGAGGTCGAGCAGCACCAACAGGGACACACTCCCCCTGTCGAGCTCCCGACGCAGATCATCCACTAAGGCGACCAAGGCTGTCTCAGTACCATGCCCCGGCCTAAAGCCAGACTGCGCCGGATCCAGATAATCCGTGTCTACCAAGAATGCCTGGAGTTGTGAGGCCACCACACGTTCCATGACTTTGCCCAAAAAGGGGAGATTGGAAACAGGCCGAAGTTGTCAAATTTAGTGGGGTCCAATGATGGTTTCTTCAACAGCGGTTTTATAATAGCTTGTTTTAAGCTCGCTGGAATCTTGCCTTCCCAGAGGGAGGCATTAACCACCACCGTTACCCACTCAGCCAATCCCCCTCTGGCCTCCTTCAGAAGCCAGGATGGGCAGGGGTCTAGGATGCATGTGGTAGCTCTCATTCCTCCAAGCACCTTGTCCACATCATCGGATTGAACCAATTGAAATGAATCCATCAAACCGGACAAGCAGATGCTCGTGTTACATCCTCAGATACTGCCGTTAATATGGTATCCAGTCCAGAGCGGATCAAAGCGACTTTGTCTGCGAAGAACCGAGCAAAAGCTTCGCAGCGAGCTGCCGAGTCATCAGGGCACCCATCCTGAGTGGTGGGTTTTAATAGGCCTCTGACAACTCGGAACAGTTCAGCCGGACGGTTCTTAGCAGACGCAATAGTGGCCGCAAAGAAGGTTTTCTTTGCGGCTTTTATTGCCGCGGCATATGCCCTTAAAAAGGACACAAACCGTGTTCGATTTGGCTCGCTCGGATCCAAACGCCACACGCTCTCTAGTTCCCTCTTTTGCTTCAACGCTGCCAGCTCCTCAGTAAACCAAGGGGCTGGTTTAGCTCGGCTACTTGAGAGGGGACGTTCTGGAGCGATCGTGTCTATTGCCCTAGTCATCTCCCCATTCCAGAGAGCGACCAGAGCATCAACAGGATCACCAACCGAGGTGGCGGGAAATTCCCCAAGAGCCATCAGGAATCCATCCGGATCCATAAGCCTCCTGGGGCGGACCAATTAATGGGTCCTCCACCTCTGCGGAGGTTAGGGGGTGCAGTGAGTCTAAAGCTGACCAGGTGGTGGTCGGTCCATGGCAACGGAGAGATGGATAACTCCTCAACACCGCCACCTTCCTCCCATCCCTGGCAGAAAACCAAATCCAATGTATGTCCAGCACTGTGGGTGGGGCCAGATACCTGCTGGGACAGCCCCATGGTTGCCATGGTAGACATGAAGTCCTGAGCCGCTCCCGATAAGGCGGTCTCGGCGTGGACATTGAAGTCCCCCAGCACAAGCAGCCGATATGATATGATACATAGCAAGATACTGTAGCTCATTAATAGTTGACAGACAGATATGACTGATAGGGTAGATAGATAATGATGGTCAGATAGATAAAAAAGATACATAAAAAGATATATATTAGATGACAGACAAAAATGATGGACAGATAGACACAAAATAGGTATCCGTTACCTTCCCGCCAAAGCGGTACCTATTGATCTACTCACATTTGCATGTTTTCGAACTGCTAGGTTGGCAGAAGCTGGGCCTAACAGTGGGAGCTCACCCAGTTGCCAGGATTTGGACTACCAGCCTTTTGGTCAACAAGTTCAACAGCTCAGCGGTTTAACGCGCTGTGCCAGCAGAGGGCCCAACTATGATACATAAATAGATCAATAGCAGTAGGTATTGTTTTACTTTGGGGAGGCACACCCCTCCAAGATCTCCTAAGGCAGACATGTGCAAACTTAAGCCCTCCAGTTGTTTCGGATTTCCTAACGGCGCCTATACCTATTCTAAGAGCTAATGCATTTCCTGCAGACTCCGCCAGTTGCACTCCTGCCCATGGAGAGAAATCCAGAGCCCAGGCCCAGAAAAGGGGTCCACCCCCACACGCTCCGGACCCACCTTGCCCGTGTTTGGTGAAGACGCAGGAGGCAATCCCGCTGATGTCCTCCTTCCGGACGCAGTCGTAGTGCACCTGCGGCCGCAGCCCTGGCACTGTGAAGATGTGGATGTCTCCCAAGTTGGTCAGGCAGGCCAGGCCGTTTTCGGTATAATCCTCGCAGGCTGCGCTGGCAAAGCTCACCAGCCCCACCTTCCGGACCCGGCAGCCTTCGTGGGCCGTCAGCTTGAACTTAGTCTTGGCACTGACTTTGGGCAGCGTGAACACCTGGGAGGGAAGGATGAATAAGGGGATGGGAAGGGACTTAGTCAAAGTCACACCATAGCCCCATCTTCAGATGTCAATACATTCATCTCCTTTCAAGCCATATTATAATGTCTCCCTTCCTCCAAAGAACAGAACAGAGTCCTGGAAATTGGGAGAGTTCACTCAAAGCCAGTGGAGTTAACCATGATGCCAATTGTGAGAGAGGCAGGATTGCCACCATGAAGCCAATTTGGAGAAAAGAATGATTACAAAGGAGAAAGAACGGTGATTGCAATCGTGATGCCAATTCTGCCTCTACATACCAACCATGTAGAGACAGAGATTATGACAAATGAGAAAGAGGGATTACTTCAACCATGAAGCCAGTTCAGAGAGAGGGACAGTTACAGCCATGAAGTTGCATGCTGCAATTCTCTGAAGTTTTAGGTGCCCTTACTGCCTATTACAGGGAAAACCAGCTGATTCCTAATCCATCTAAAATGCAGACATCGAGCTCTGAGGACCACCTGGGAAGGAAGCACTGCAGCACACCCAAATACCTGGGAGTCACTCTGGATCGTGCTCTCAATTATAAGAACCTCTGCTTGCATATAAAGCTAAAAGTGGGCGCTAGAAATAATATCATACGAAAGCTGACTGGTACAACCTGGGAATCACAACTAGACCAGTGAAGACAACTGCCCTTGCGCTTTGCTACTCTGCTGCTGAACACGCATGCCCAGTGTGAAATACACCTCGCCACGTTAAAACACTGGATGTGGCTCTTAATGAGACATGCTGCATTATCACAGGGTGTCTATGCTCAACACCGCTGGAGAAATTATACTGTTTAGCTGCTATTGGACCTCTTGACATCTGTCGGGAAGTAGCAGCCAATAACGAAAGTACCAAGTCAGTGACATCTCCGGCCATCCTCTGTTTGGGTATCAGCCTACACGCCAACGACTTAATTCAATAAATAGTTTTCTAAGATCTACAGAGACACTTGCAGGAACACCTCAGCAAGCGAGAGCCGAAAAGTGGCAGGCTAAAACCCAGAACCTCAATCAATGGCTGATACCAAGTGAGAGACTCCCTTCTGGGCACACCAAAGATTTGGCGACTTGGCATTGAACAGACTGCACTCTGGCACCATGAGATGCAGAGCCAGCCTTAAGAAATGGGGCCACAAAGTGGAGTCCACGGCATGCGAGTGCGGAGGAGAGTAAACCAAAGACCACCTACAACAATGCAATCTGAGCCTTGCCACATGCACAGTGGAGGGCCTTCTCACAGCAACACCAGAGGCACACCAAGTGGCCAACTTCTAATCAAAGGACATTTAGCATAATGCCAAGTTTTTAATCTTTGTTTGTGTTTCTGAATACATGTTAGCTGTGCCCTCAACTCGCTTCTGATATTATTTATTTATTTCAGAGTTTTATATACCAACCTTCTCACCTCTTTGAGGGACTCAGACCGGTTTCCAACCATAAAAACACATACAATCGGTAAAAACATCATAGTTCATATTACAATAACACATTAAAACAACAAATATATCCAAAAACTACAGTGGTCAGTCGTCATACTAAAAAACAATTATACATCATCTTCCATCCATGTCTTAGGGTGTTGTCTCACTCATCAAAAGCCTGTCTCCATAACCACGTCTTCACCTGTTTCCTAAAAGTCAGGATAGAAGGGGCGGTTCTGATCTCTGGTGGGAGAGAGTTCCAGAGTCGCGGGGCCACCACCGAGAAAGCCCTGTCCCTCGTCCCCACCATGATAAATATATAAAAAAAAACAGTCATGAAGCCAGTTCAGAGATAGGGAAGATCACAACCACAAAACCAATTCAGAGAGATGGAAATTACAAATGTGAAGCCAATTCTGAGAGAGGGCAACATGTCTTGCTTTCACTTTGAATGAAGAGATACCTGTAGGTTTGTTCAGATGGCATCCAAGCTCCCCAAAGTCTGCTAAGGTGACAATTTTCAAGCCTATTCCAAGGAAGATAAAACAATGCACTTAAAGCCACGGTCCTCTAACGTCTTTCTCCCTCACCTTGAATTGCTCTTCCGAGGCAATGAGCACCGAGTGGCTGCCCTGCATGTCGGGGGCCTTGGCCAAGTCCCGGGAGACTTCGTAGGGCTCCGGCAGAGGGTTCCCCCGGCCGTCGAGGACCGCGATCGACACGACTGGTGCTCTGTGCATGAGCTGGATCTCCTTGCCCAAGACAGCTTCTGCGGAGCGCTCCGCAAACTTCTCCTGGGAGGGGACCTCCAAGGCGTAGGCGAAGACGGAGCCAGAGTTGGTGCCGGCCCACATGGTGGGTCCGTGATGCGCAGCTATAAGGCGGGGAAAGGAGAGAATGAGCTGGAGGTTGACCACAGAACTGCCCTGGAGGCCTAGAGGAAAGGATGCTCTAGGTCAGTGGTTCTCAACCTTCCTAATGCCACAACCCTTTAATACAGTTCCTCATGTTGTGGTGACCCCCAACAATTAAAAGTATTTTCACTGCTACTTCATAACTGTAATTTTGCTACTGTTATGAATTATAATGTAAATATCTGATATGCAGGATGTATTTTCATTCACTGGACCAAATTTGGCACAAATACCCGATATGCCCACATTTGAATACTGGTGGGGATGGGCGGGGGGGGGGGGGGCTAATTGATTTTGTCATTTGGGAGTTGTGGTTGCCTGGATTTATAGTTCACCTACAACCAAAGACCATTCTGAACTACACCAACGATGGAATTAAACCAAACTTGGCACACAGAATTCCCATGACCAACAGAAAATACTGGAAGGGTTTGGTGGGCATTGACATTGAATTTGGGAGTCGTAGTTGACCTACATCCTGAGGCCTCTGTGGGCTCAAACAATGATGGATCTGGACCAAACATGGCACAAATATCCAATATGCCCAAATGTGAACACTGGTGGAGTTTGGGAAAACTAGATCTTGACATTTGGGAGTTGTAGTTGCTGGGATTTATAGTTCACCTACAATCAAAGAGCATTCTGAACCCCACCAACGATAGAATTGGCCAAACTTCCCACACAGAACCCCCATGACTAACAGAAAATAATGTCTTTTCTGGTGGTCTTTGGCGACCCCTCTGGCACCCCCTCATGACCCCCCCAGGGGTCCCGACCCCCGGGTTAAGAAACGCTGCTGTAGGTCCTCTGAAGCAAGGCTATGGGATCTAAATCTCTCCGTGTCTAAACAAAACCACATTCAATGCAACGGTTTAATTAGTCAATTTACTGCAGTCACAAGCTCCATTGGGTCTCAATATAGAGGTAGAAATAATAATAATAATAATAATAATAATAATAATAGCAACAAAATAACACAATAATAATAACAATAACAACAACAACAATTAAGTCAATTTATTTAGAGAGAAAATTGAGGTACAAATAATAATAATAATAATAATAATAATATTTTATTTATACCCCGCTACCATCTCCCCTAGGGACTCGGTGCGGCTTACGTGAGGCCGAGCCCAAAATACAACAATATAAGCAATAACAACAACAATACAAGCAATTTAAAACAACAAAACAATAAAACAATAACATAGGCATTATCAAATAGGACAACACACTTTAAAATCTATGGGTAGGCCAAATGTAATTAAAATTAAAAAATAATGCTGGACATGGGTGAAAAAAGTGATGGGGCGGTTTGTGGAAACATACAAGCAGACCTAAAACAATATTATTATTATTATTATTATTATTATTATTAAACTTTATTTGTACCCCGCTAGCATCTCCCGAAGGACTCAATGCGGCTTACAAAGGTCAAGGCCTCAACAACAACAACAACCAATAACAATACAATGCAAGCAAATTAAAAACGTAAGCAATATCAAGTGCTTTGGAGGACAAAGTGCTATGGGATCATTATTCTGGGAAGGCACACTGGAACAACCACGTCTTCAAGCTCCTCTTAAAGACTGCCAAGGTTGGGACGTGCCTGATGTCCTTAGGAAGTGAGTTCCAGAGTTGAGGGGCCACCACCGAAAAGGCCCTCTCTCTAATAACAACAGCAGCAGCAGGCTACAATTTGTAGATGAGGAATTTGTGCCACCCTTTGTTCAAAAACTTGAGGCAATGCTACTTTCTAGCAAATTTTCCACTTCCTACCCCTTCCCACACATGTCCTTTGACCCCATGGGATGATGGCCCTTGACCATTTCAGCCCTCCCCAGACTCCTTTCAACAGATTCAGAAGTAGAGCGGACAGATCAAAAGACAAATTGTCAAAATGGCACTACTTAAAAGAATCCTCCACCTTGTGTGACCGTGGAGCAGAACAGACAACTCCAATCTGTATGCTTGTCCTCAATGTCTTGCCTCATGTAAAGAGGAAGAATTGTTTGAGGCTACAGATTGGTTGCTGTTACCTGTTTTTGGTCAAAAGATATTTAGCCACTTGTGCGCCTTCTATTTTTATCAGTTTTATATTAATGTATGCAATGCTTTTGATACAGAATAATAATAATTGTAAAGGTGTTCCCAGTGGTGATCGGCACACTGGGTGCAGTGCCAGAAGACCTTGGCCTGCACTTAAACACAATCGGTGCTGACAAAATTACCACCTGTCAGCTGCAAAAGGCCACCCTACTAGGATCTGCACACATTATTCACAAATACATCATAAAGGTCTAGACACCTGGGAAGGGTCCGATGTGTAATCAAATGCAAGAGCCAGCAGAGTGATCTTGTCTGCTGTGTACTAATCTTGTTAGGTATCAAATAATAATAATAATAATAATAATAATAATAATAATAATAATAATAATAATAATTGGATTCAGACAGACAGAGTTTTGGAGCATAATACTCTTGACCTCACAATCGTGTTAAAAATCGAACTGCAAAGACTCTGGCACAAGCCAGTAAAGGTGGTCCCAGTGGTGATTGGCACACTGGGTGCAGTGCCAACAGACCTTGGCCTGCACTTAAAACACAATCGGTGCTGACGCAATTACCATCTGCCAGCTGCAAAAGGCCACCTTACTGAGATCTGCATGCATTATTCAGCGATACATCACACAGTCCTAGACACTTGGGAAGTGCCCGACGTGTGATCCAATTCAACAGCCATTGTGTAGCCCATGATAGGCATACAATCTACTCGGGCCATCATCTGTGCGCACTGACGACACCATTTGGATGACTCTGGATGCTCTTGACCTTCCCTCCAAACCTACATTCCCAGTTGAAACCCCTCTGAGAAAAAAGCGAAAGGGCAAAAAGGCGACCCCAAGTGACCACTGACCACCCAAAAGGTCACTTGTGGTCCTAACCAGGAGTGACGCTGTGCCCCACACCCAAGGTCAAGCAGAGACAAGAATGGAGTCCACCTGCCTTACCGTCTCGCAGGAAGGTATCCGCGAAGTAGAGGCACCGCACCACTCCAGAGAGGGAGTCATCAGCAGACCGGGGTTCGATCCGCCGTTGGACAGGGGTCATCTCAACCTCGTGGGGCCCCGGCTGTTCGGCCAACTGGGCATTGGCCTCATGCACCTGCAGAGAAGGTAAATCTTGACTCAAGAAAATGTATTTTATGAACGGGAGACCCCCCGCACCTTGTTGGCATCTTTGGTTCTCTTTTCATCTCCAGAACTGGGCCAAATGCTATTCTCCCACCGAAAAAATGTCTTCCAAGACCTTCTTCAAAATGGACCTTGGCCTTCGAGAATCGGAACTGATTTCTTGGTCAATGGGTCAGAGGTCCAAGATGAAATCCCTAGACCCCTCTCTTCCTAATTCCTTCCCATCTTCCCCTGTGACTTGAACCCACCACCCAATATAGGTTTAGCATTTGGAAGAAGTGCTCCCATTGTACCACTGATGGCGAAGACATGGGGTCCGGCATCATGTGTCATCAATAATAACAATGTCATAGCAGGACTACCTTGAGTCCCATTATTAGGAGAAAGGTGGGCAACAAAAGGATAATGTCATATAGCATGAATATCATATAGCATGAATAACAGTATATAACACAATTTGATTTTTTTTTTCTGCCTGGTTTGGAAGTGTTATTTCCTGTTCAATTGTGCAGTACTTAATTTGAAAGTATTTGTTATACTTCAGAAACTTCTTTTTTGTGGCTGCCATTTTGAACCTTTATAGGCCTTTTTTAACCTTTTGTGCAGAAATGTGCAGAGTTTACTGCATATACTCGAGTATATCCTGAATTTTTCAACCCTTTTTAGGCTGAAAAAGCCCCCCTCATCTTATACTTTATCATTTTACTCTATTTATTATTATTACATTTATTATTTTACTGTGTTATTATTATTTTATTATATTTATTACATTACATGTATTATTTTATTCTACTTATTATTCTATTTATTTTACTCTATTATTACTATTACATTTATTATCTCACTCTATTATTATTACATTTATTACTTTAATACTACTCTATTATTATTATTACATTTATTATTTTACTGTTATTATTATTTTATTACATTTATTACATTATTACATGTATTATTTTATTCTATTTATTATTATTATTCTATTTATTATTTTACTCTATTTTACTATTACATTTATTATCTCACTCTATTATTATTACATTTATTATTTTATTCTATTTATTATTATTCTATTTATTTTTACTCTATTATTACATTTATTATTTTACTATTTTATTATTTTTTATTACATTTATTACATTATTATTAAATGTATTATTTTATTCTATTTATTATTTTACTCTATTTATTATTACTATTGCATTTATTATCTCACTATTATTATTACATTTATTACTTTAATATTACAATATTATTATTACATGTATTATTTTACTGTTATTATTATTTTATTACATTTATTGCATTATTACATGTATTATTTTATTCTATTTATTATTATTCTATTTATTTTACACTATTATTACTATTACATTTATTATCTCAGTCTATTATTATTACATTTATTACTTTAATATTACTCTACTATTATTATTACATGTATTATTTTACTGTGTTATTATTATTTTATTATATTTATTACATTATTACATGTATTATTTTATTCTATTTATTATTATTCTATTTATTATTACTATGACATTTATTATCTCACTCTATTATTACATTTATTACTTTAATATTACTATTATTATTACATGTATTATTTTACTGTGTTATTATTATTTTATTACATTTATTACATTATTACATGTATTATTTTATTCTATTTATTTTTATTCTATTTATTTTACACTATTATTACTATGACATTTATTATCTCACTCTATTATTATTACATTTATTATTTTATTCTATTTATTATTATTATTCTATTTTTTTACTCTATTATTACTACTACATTTATTATTTCACTCTATTATTACATTTATTATTTTACTATTTTATTATTATTTTATTACATTTATTACATTATTATTACATGTATTATTTTATTCTATTCATTATTATTATTCTATTTATTATTTTACTCTATTTATTATTACTATTACACTTATTATCTCACTCTATTATTATTACATTTATTACTTTAATATTACTCTATTATTACATTTATTATTTCACTCTATTATTATTTTATTACATTTATTACATGTATTATTTTATTCTATTTATTATTATTCTTCTATTTATTATTTTACTCTATTTATTATTACTATTACATTTATTATTTCACTCTATTATTATTACATTTATTACTTTATTATTACTCTAATGGTATTATTACATTTATTATTTTACCCTATTATTATTGGAAGAATAGGTGAGCACATTTACATTGAAGAAGGATAGAATAATGATTTAATCAGAGTTGGATAGTCTTATCTTATATTACAATTTTATGTAAATATTCAAAAACATTTAACCTTCTGATGCCTCAATTAATGTAATTATATTCTTGTGAAAGCATGTCATAAAGTCACCTGGAGGACCTAGAAAATGCCTATTTTATCAGATGTAGGCAATTGAAAATGAATGAAATGGGACGAGAGCAGCGCCCTGACCTTGCTGGAAGGGCTGTTGGTGTTGACCCGCTTCTTGCCGGACACTCGGCTCTTGCGGATCCGGCGGAAGGACTGCCGCAGGGACTTCTTCAGGGACTTCACCCGCGAGAGGGGCCCCTCCATGGCCAAGGAGTCGTTCGGATGCAATGTGCACCTATGGAAACAATCAGAGTAATAAAGGCACCTGCCTTCATCTGATCCCGGAAGCCTACTCACTCTCCTCAGGACGAGACTAGCTTTGGCCCACTAACTCTAACAGGGTTCGGCCTACTCACTCTCCTCAGGATGATATTAGCTTTGGCCCACTAACTCTAAGATGCTTTGTCCTACTCACTCTCCCCAGGACGAGACTCGCTTTGGTCCACTGACTCTAACAGACTTTGGCCTACTCACTCTCTTCAGGACTAGCTTTGACCAACTAACTCTAACATGCTTTGTCCTACTCACTCTCCTCAGGACAAGACTAGCTGTGGCCCACTGACTCTAACAGGCTTCAACCTACTCACTCTCCTCAGGACAAGACTCGCTTTGGCACACTGACTAACAGGCTTCGGCCTACTCACTCTCCTCAGTATGAGACTAGCTTTGGCCCACTGACTCTGACAGGCTTCGGCCTACTCACTCTCCTCAGGACGAGACTCGCTTTGGCCCACTGACTCTAACATGCTTTGTCCTACTCACTCTCCTCAGGACGGGACTAGCTTTGGCCCACTAACTCTAAAAGGCTTCAGCCTACTCACTCTCCTCAGAACGAGACTAGCTTTGGCCCGGTGACTCTGACAGGCTTTGACCTACTCACTCTCTTCAGGACAACACTAGCTTTGGGCCACTGACCCTAACAGGCATCGACCTACTCACTCTCTTCAGGACATCACTAGCTTTGGCTCACTGACTCTGACAGGCTTTGACCTACTCACTCTCTTCAGGACAACACTAGCTTTGGCTCACTGACTCTGACAGGCTTTGGCCTACTCACTCTCTTCAGGACAACACTAGCTTTGGCTCACTGACTCTGACAGGCTTCGGCCTACTCACTCTCTTCAGGACAACACTAGCTGTGGCTCACTGACTCTTGACGGGCTTTGACCTACTCACTCTCTTCAGGACAACACTAGCTTTGGCTCACTGACTCTTGACAGGCTTCGGCCTACTCACTCTCTTCAGGACAACACTAGCTTTGGCCCACTGACTCTAACAGGCTTTGACCTACTCACTCTCTTCAGGACAACACTAGCTTTGGGCCACTGACCCTAACAGGCTTCGACCTACTCACTCTCCCCAGGACGAGACAAGCTTTGGCCAACTAACTCTAACAGGCATGGGTGCGGGCCCCACCTGGCCAGGACAGGGTTCCTGCGATGGTAGTCGTAGAGCCCGAAGCCGTGGCTGGTCCCAAAGGCCACCAGGTTCCACTCGGAGTGGAGGGTGACGGCGGTGACAGCGGCGGGAGGCGCGCACTGGACCAGGAGGCTCGGCTGGAAGCCTGGGGCGAAGGGCAGGGCGCCGTTCTTGGGGGGAAGCCGGTCGTGGCCCTTCCAGGTGAAGCCCTCGCGGTCCTGCAGGAGGTCCACCACGGCCACGTTGACCACGTGCTCCGACTTCTCGTCGTTGAGCTCCATCACCAGCACCTGAAGAGAGAAACCCATGGAACATCAGGAAAGGGATCGTGATATGGGGGGACAGTTGTAGTATGGATTTAAATCCTCTTAGGGGTTTATTGCTATTACAGTATATTTAGTAAAGGTAAAGGTTTCCCACTGACGCTAAGCCTAGTTGTGTCTGACTCTGGGAGTTGGTGCTCATCTCCATTTCTGGCGTTGTCCATAGACACTTCCAAGGTCATTTGGCTAGCATGACTGTATCGAGCGTTGCTACCTTCCTGCAAAAGTGGTACCTATTGATCTACTCACATTTGCATGTTTTTGAACTGCTAGGTTGGCAGAAGCTGGGGCTAACAGCGGGAGCTCACCCTGCTCCCCAGATCTGAACTGCTGACCTTTCGGTCAGCATGCTCAGCAGCTTAATCTGCTGCACCACTAGATAGCTCTAGTAACAGTAACAGTAATAATTCAGCATTACACCGTAATAATTTCGCATTACATCAACTGCTAGGTGGGCTGAAGCTGGGGCTAAGGGTTGGAGCTCATCCTGCTCCCCAGATCTGAACCGCCAAGTTCAGCAGATCAGCAGTTTAACCTGCTCCACCACTAGCGGGCTTTAATAACAATAACAATTCAGCATTACACTAATAATTTCAATTTACACCAACTGCTAGGTGGGCCGAAGCTGGGGCTAGGAGTGGGAGCTCACCCCGCTCCCCAGATCAGAACTGCTGACCATTCGGTCAGCATGTTCTGTAGCTCAGCAGTTTAACCTGCTGCGCCACCAGGTAGATCTAGTAACAGTAACAATAATAATTCAGCATTACACCATAATAATTTTGCATTACACCAACTGCTAGGTGGGCCAAAGCTGGGGCTAAGAGCGAGAGCTCACCCCGCTCCCCAGATCAGAACTGCCGACCTTTCGGTCAGCATGCTCAGCAGCTTAACCTGCTGCGGCACTAGGTATCTCTAGTAACAGTAACAATAATAATTCAGCATTACACCATAATAATTTCGCATTACACCAACTGCTAGGTGGGCCGAAGCTGGGGCTAAGAGCGGGAACTCACCCCGCTCCCCAGATCTGAACCGCCGACCTTTCGGTCAGCAAGTTCAGCAGTTTAAACTGCTCCGCCACCAGGGGGCTCTAATAACAATAACAATTCAGCATTACACCATAATAATTTGGCACTACACCATAATAATAATATTATTGTAACATAAATACCAGGGTTAGGTCTCTTGATTGAGTCACAGTGTGGAATAGTGGTTTGACCACAGCAGTACGGTTCGTGATTTGCATTTTTAACTCTTTCATGCTGTGGATTTCAGACACTGAATTTCAAAACTCACTGTCCCCTGCTCCCAAACTGGGAAGAAAGGGAGGAAGAGGCCAATGGGGATGATGGGATATGGTGCACTATTGCTCTTACCTGTCCTGCTGTGCCAGCAACGACCATCTTCGCCGTATATTTGCACAATGCGATTTTCTGGACGCCCAGCCGAGGGTCATCGCTGTACGGGTCAAAACAGCCGACCTGGAAGAAAAAGGGGCAAAAATCAGGACACACATTGTGCAAAGAGGAGAAAGAAGCATTTGCAACTAACGCTAGGATGAGTGAAACCTGCTTTGGTAACAATCCATGCAAAAGGGATCCACACTATGTAACACAATTCGATTTTTTTTTCTGTTCCTGGTTTGAAAGTGTTATTTCCTGTTTAATTGTGCAGTATTTACTTTGAAAGTAGTTGCTATACTCCAGAAACTTTGTTTTTGTGGCTGCGACAAACTATATTGAATTGCTTGAGATTCTAGGAGAGATTCATTGAAAAACTAGAGCAAAATGTGCTGCAGGATGATGTCCCTTTTGCAAATTTTTGCAGTTTAATAAACTTTTTCCACGTTTTTACGATAGAAGTAATTAGGAAATGGCATTTTATAACCCAGGAACAAAAATTGTGTTGCATCATGTTATTAGAAAATGAACATGAGCAAACAGTGTACTGCAGCAGCAAAAAAGACCAATATAATTCTAGGCTGCATCAATAGGAGTCTAGTATCTAGATGGAGGGAAGTCCTAGTCCCACTCTTTTCGACTTTGATCAAACCTCATTTGGAATAACAACCCTCTCGGGAGGAAGTGAACTGTATCTCCTGCTTGGCAGGATGAGGTCAGGCTGGATGGCATTTAGGGGACCCTTCCAACGTTGTGATTCTACCTTGCGAAACGGGGGCCACTCCTCCTCGCAGGACTGGTTCAAGCTATCGCTGTGGTCGCAGTCCGTCTGGAAAATGCTGGCCGTTCCCAGTTTGTATAATGGTTTGAGGGAGACCCCAGAGGCATCCCAGAACCGGACGGTGCCATCTTCATGACTATTGAGGAAAGAATAAAAAGGTTCCTTTAAGAGGTAAGGCAAGCAAGGCTTTTAAGGATGGAGTTGGAACCAGATTTCACCAAGGTGCCCTTCCCAGATTTGGAATAATAATAATAATAATAATAATAATAATAATAATAATAATAATAATAATAATAATAATATACATAACAAAATGAGTCCACAGCAAATAAGATCATGCTGGCTTTTGAATTGGATCACACATCAGACACTGCCCAAGTGTCTAGAACTGTGTGGTGTATCGGCATATAATGCGTGCAGATCCCCATAGGGTGGCCTTTTGCAGCCGGAAGATGGTGATTTTGTCAGCATCAATTGTTTTTAAGTGCAGGCCAAGGTCTTTAGGCACTGCACCCAGTGTGCCGATCACCACTGAGACCACTTTGACTGGCTTGTGCCACAGTCTTTGCAGTTCGATCTTTAAATCCATATCGTGTCAGCTTTTCCAGTTGCTTCTCATCAATTTTGCTGTCGCCTACAATTGCAACATTGATGATCCATACTTTGTTTTTTAACACAATCGTGAGCTCAGGCTTATTGTGCTCCAAAACTCTGTCTGTCTACATTCGGAAGCTTCTTTGTCTATTTTGCTCTTCATTTTTCCCAGGAACTGTCCTTATTTTGCCAGTTTTCACTTCTGTTTTATATTGTACTTTTATGGTATTCCCTCTTTGTCTTTTGCGCTTGAAGCAGTTTTCTACTATTGACTTCCCTCAATCTTGGTTCTTGATTGCCTTTCACATCATTTGCCAGTGCATGTTTCTCTTCTTCTACCGTTTGTTTCACTTGCAGAATCCCTCTCTCTGCCTCCTGATTTTCTGGACAGGTCAAGACTGTTGACATCACTACGTGGGTGTCAAGAGTAGTGGATAGTCATCAGTTTTCTTGTTTCTCTCTCCAGATCACACCCAGCTCTGCTTGCGCCCAGTTCACAATTCCAGCAGCATATCAGATTATTATTATTTGAAACATAACTCTGCTGGTTGTTGTATTGGATCACACGATGGACACTTCCCAAGTGTCTAGGACTGTATGATGTATCGGCAAATAATGTGTGCAGATCCAAGCAGAGTGGCCTTCTGCAGCTGGCAATTTTATCAGGGCCAATTGTGTTTAAGTGCAGGCCAAGGTCTTCAGGCACTGCACCCAATGTGCCGATCACCACTGGGACCACCTTGACTGGCTTGTGCCAGAGTCTTTGCAGTTCGATCTTTAAATCCTCATATCGTATCAACTCTTGTATTATTATTATTATTATTATTATTATTATTATTATTAGGAGCATTGGTTTCCATAATGAAAAATAAAAAGGATTATATTATTACCTTACAAAATAAAACAATTGTAGTCATAATTTGTTTCCTAGTTGATGCCAATTTGCTGCACTGTAGGATTAATGCAGTTTGACACCACTTTAACTACTTTGGGATCCTGGGATTTGTATTTTGGTAAGAAACAGCACTTTTTGGCAGAGAAGGCAAAATGCCTTGCAGAACAACACATCCCATTTGCCATTTGAGGCTGAGATGTTGTGGTTGGCTCAACCCCATGGAATCCTGGGATTTGTAGTTTGATGAGAAACAGCACTATCTGGCAGAGAAGACAAAATTCCTTGCAGAACAACATATCCCATTTGCCATTTGAGGCTGCGATGTTGTGACTCAGATGAAGTCGCCTAATGAGTTTTGTGTGGCTCAATGGGAAGAGACTGAAACATTTAAACGACTACACTGTCTCTTTAAAGAAAGTAAAATGTTGGGTTTCCAAAAGATGAAATTTTCTTGGCAGAATGCATTCAGAGGCAGTCTGGCCTCGCTTACTTTGAGTAAATATGATGTCTCCAGGGGTCAAGTTGGGGATTACGAATTATTTCAAGCGACGGCCAAACCACGGCTGCACATGTCTCTAGCGGAGATTTTGCAGCTGAGGCAAGACAGAAATGGGGCACTCCCTTCCTTCCCTTGGCCGGAGGACAGGGTCCAGCTGGCCATTCGGACCGCCCCTCTCGGCCCCAGGGAATGGACATCCGCTGGACGCAGCCAAGGCCTCCATCGGGGAAAACGCGAAACCCATTACATCCTTGGCAAAGAGTGACTCCAGCATCGTCAAGAGCAAAGCAAGAACATAAGAGAGAGAAGGCCAAGAGAATGAAGGATCGAATGAAAAGGAGGGAGGGAAAGGAAAGGAGAGGAGGAAGGGAAGGAAAGGAAAGAAAAGAGAGAAAGGCAAGGCAAGGGATACAAAAAGAAAGAAAGGCATGGAGAAAATGAGGAATGGAAAGAAAAGAGGAAGGAAGGAAGGAAGGAAGGAAGGAAGGAAGGAAGGAAGGAAGGAAGAAGGAAGGAAGGAAGGAAAGAAAGAAAAAGGGGAGGAGACAAGGAGAAACAGAAGTAAAAGAAAAGGAAAGAATACAACGGGGGGAAAGGAGGCATGGAAGAAGAGAGGAAGGGAAGGAGGGAAAAGATAGAGAGATAGAGAAGGAAAGGAAGGAAGGAAGGAAGGAAAGAAAAAGGGGAGGAGACAAGGAGAAACAGAAGTAAAAGAAAAGGAAAGAATACAACGGGGGGAAAGGAGGCATGGAAGAAGAGAGGAAGGGAAGGAGGGAAAAGATAGAGAGATAGAGAAGGAAAGGAAGGAAGGGAACAGAAAGTATAAAAAAAGAAAGGAGAGACAAGGCAGGCAGGTAAGGAAGAAAGAAGGAATGGAAATGAAAGGAAAGGAAGAAAAAAGATAGAGGGAACGAACAAACAAACGGGAGGGAAAGGAAGAAGGAAAGGCAAACGAAGAGAGAGAGAAAGAAGAAAAGAGAGAGAGAGAAGGAAAGGCAAGGAAAAAGAAAGAATGAAAAGGAAAAAATACAAGGGAAAAGAAAGAAGGCATGGAAGAAGAGGGAGGGAAGGAAAGAAAGAAGAGAGAGAGAAGGAAAGGAACAAAGGAAAGAAAGAAAGAACGAAAGAAAGAAAGAAAGGGAGGGAAAGAAAGAAAAAAAAGAAAGGGGAAGAAAAAAAAGGAGGAAGGAAGAAAGGAAGGAAAAGAAGGGAAGAGAAAGAAAAGGAGGAAGGGACAAGGGAAGGGAAGCGAGTGTGAGAAAGAAGGAAGGAGGAGACAAAGAAAAAGAAAAGAATTCAAGGGAAAAGAAAAAGAAAAGCAGGAAGAAGGAAAAAGGAAGGAGGAAAGAACAGAGAAAAGGAGAAGGAAAGTAAGAAAGAAGGAAGGAAAGAAGGAAGGGGAAGGGAAGAAAGAAAGTATAAGGAAAGGAGACAAGGAAGGGAAGGAGAGGAAGAGAGAGAGCGGAAGAAAAACAGGAAGGCAGGATGGAAGAAAGGAGGGGTGGAAAGGAAAGAGAAAGGGGGAAAGAAAATATAAAGAGGGAAAAGAGGGAAGGGGAAATGAAAAGGAAAAAGAAAAGAAGGCAAGGGGGAAGAAAAATAAAGGAGGCATAGAAGAAAGGAGGGAAGGAAAGAAAGGAAAAAAGAGGAAGACATGGAGACATGGAGAAAAAGGAAGGAAGGAGAGGAAGGAAAAGGAAAGAACAAATTTGGAAGGACCCCTAAAGGACATTTAGTCCAACCCCACCAGTCCAGGAATAATAATAATAATAATAATAATAATAATAATAATAATAATAATAAGGATATACGGCCCAATAAAGTAGAAAGGATAAGGCGCGATGACTCACCCCGTCAAGAGAAGCCCCCGCTGAGTGGGTTCTTGTGCCAGGCTCCTCCCGCCGTTGATGGGCCAGTTCTGTTAAGACACAACGGAGGAACACATGTGATGCAATCGGGTCTTCCCTGGCTTACCTGTGCAAGAAGCACATCCACTGTAGTGGCACAAGAGTCCACTACCGTATCAGAGTGATAATACATTGGACAACTTTAAAAGTTCCCCATCAAAAGGCTACGGCGTCAACCCAGGTCAACGGGGTGGTGTTGACTCTCCATTGAGGACTCACCGCCGTCGAGAGCCGGGGGCTCTGATGTTCCCCGGCGCTGATGATCCTCTCCCACAACTTGAGGGGGACGTTGGAGATGTGGTAGGAGCAGGTGATGGCGGAGGAGTGGAGCGGGGCCAAGTATGGGGCCGGGATGGTGGGCCAGCCGGGCGTCCTCAGGTCGATGGCCACCAGCTCCTCCTCCACCAGCACCACCAGCGCAGTCGGGTTGTCCGATTCTGGGGGAGACAGCACCCAAAAAACATGGTCATTACATCACATAGAGTTGTTGCCGCGTTGGGGGGCAACAGTCACCCCGAGGTGGGCATCTAGGTGGGGCACGTCTCGGAGGGTTATGTGCTCCTACTTCCTCAATCAAATCATATAAAGGATCCCCACTGTTAGCCCTAGCTCCTGCCAACCTAGCAGTTCAAAACATGCAAATAAAAATTTTAATGTTATTTTCATATGTCGGGTTTTTCTGGATTTTATGCCAGCATTTGTTTGTTTTACAAAGGCATTGAATGTTTGCCGTTGTTATGTTGCACTCCACTCTGAGTCCCCTCGGGGAGATAGGGCAGAATACAAATAAAGTTTTATTATTACTACTATACTATTAAATCCATATGTACCGCTTTGGCGAGAAGGTAATAAAGGTGCCCATGCAACCATGCTGGCAACACAACTAGTGAGTTGTCTACAGACAACAGGCTCCTCAGCTTGGAAATGGAAAAAGAGCACCTCCTCATGGCCAGTATGAGCATTACCTCCAGAAGCCGGAGATGAAAGGGGAAGCTTTTGCCATTGTTTTGTGTTATTTGTGTGTCATTGTTATTAAAGGCATTGAATGTTTGCCTATCTATGTTGGAATCCGGTGTAAGTCCCCTAAGGGAGAAAGAGCTGATTATAAATAAAGTGTAATTAATACACACACACACACACACACACATATTCATTCATTCTTGGTGGGTTCCATGATGCTGAATGGATGCATATGGCTACATCATCATCAGACAGGGCTTTGGTGGGTATTTTGGGCAATATATGTGTGTGTGTGTGTGTCAGAAATATTAAAATATATATATTTAATTACAAAAATTCGAGTCAAGCATTGAAAGGGTTAAATAGATGAAATGACTCAGCAAAAACTATTCAGTATAGGAAGGTGAGCCTGTAGTATAGTTACCGTCAGTCTGAGAGAGCCCTCAGTGGGAGAAAGGCCTTTGTGTGAGGTAGACCTCAGTAGGAGAACGCCTCTGTGTGAGAAAAAGCTCCAGTGTGAAGGCTCCAATGTGTAAAATGCTACTGTGTGAAGCTCCTGTATAACTTCAGTGTGAGAGTGAAGCTGTTTATTTGCATGAGAAAGAAGTTCAGTGTGGAAGTAAAGAAGGAATGTAAAGAACTTTATTCATGTTATGGAAACCTTGTTCTTGTAAATAGTGAAACGATATTATTTTGCTATAAAGCCAAGCCTCCTTTGGAAGAGATAACATTGGTCTCTGTGTGTGTATGTTTTGTTGTTGTTCTTTTTATCACTTGTGGCTAATAGTGCTGGGTCACGCAACTGCTAATAAGTTACTCTGCTGTACATTTATGAGGAGGGTCTTTTGTTATTAAGCCCACTCACTCAACAATACACACAAACAAACATACATTTTTGTGGGTCTCATAATCAGACCCATAATCCCACTGGAGCATTGCAGCGCACCCAAATACCTGGGAGTCACTCTGGACCGTGCTCTTACCTACAAGAAGCACTGCCTGAATATCAAGCAAAAAGTGGGTGCTAGAAACAATGTCATATGAAAGCTGACTGGCACAACCTGGGGATCACAACCAGATACAGTGAAGACATCTGCCCTTGTGCTGTGCTACTCTGCTGCTGAGTATGCATGCCCAGTGTGGAACACATCTCACCACACTAAAACAGTGGATGTGGCTCTTAATGAGACATGCCGCATTATCACGGGGTGTCTGCGCCCTACACCACTGGAGAAATTACACTGCTTAGCCGGTATTGCACCACCTGACATCCGCCGGGAAGTAGCAGCCAATAGTGAAAGGACCAAGGCAGAGACATCTCCAGCTTATCCCCTGTTTGGGTATCAGCCAGCACGTCAACGACTTAAATCTAGAAATAGTTTTCTAAGATCTACAGAGACACTCGCTGGAACACCTCAGCAAGCGAGAGTCCAAAAGTGGCAGGCTCAAACCCAGAACCTCAACCAATGGCTGATACCAAATGAGAGACTCCCCCCTGGGCACACAGACGACTGGGCGACTTGGAAGGCGCTGAACAGACTGCGCTCTGGCACCACGAGATGCAGAGCCAACCTTCAGAAATGGGGCTACAAAGTGGAATCCTCGACATGCGAGTGCGGAGAAGAGCAAACCACAGACCACCTGCTGCAATGCAGCCTGAGCCCTGCCACATGCACAATGGAGGACCTTCTTGCGGCAACACCAGAGGCACTCCAAGTGGTCAAATACTGGTCAAAGGACATTTAACCAACTACCAAACCCACAAGTTTTGTATTTTTCTATTTGTTTGCTTTGTTCTGTTAGAAATGTAATATAATGGACTGGTTGCTCTGACACGATAAATAAATCACAATCCGAATGTGATTTCTGGCATTTTTGGAGGAAGATGACACAAGGTTTATACCGTTTTGGAGAGTGATAAGGCTAAAAACGTTACTAGAGAGACAGCGAAATGGAAAGTTGTGAAAGAGGAGGAACTAAAACCTTTGGTTTCAAGCAGCGAAATGCCTACCCGCCTCTACCTCGGTGTCGTACACCGTAAAGAAGTCGATCACCCGCGACGTGAAGTCCAGGGTCACCAAGGTCTGCCCCTGGAGGATGGTGACGCAGTGCCGGTCCCCATAACTGGCACGGGGCATCCCTCCACTGAAGATGATGAAGTGACTCCTGCAAAAAAGGGGCCAATGGTCAAGTAAAATACTGCCATGGTTTCTAAGTTTCCGCCACCCAGCAAACTATATTTTGATATCATAGAATCAAAGAGTTGGAAGAGACCTCATGGGCCATCCAGTCCAACCCCCTGCCAAGAAGCAGGAATATTGCAGTCAAAGCACCCCTGACAGATGGCCATCCAGCCTCTGTTTAAAAGCTTCCAAAGAAGGAGCCTCCACCACACTCCGGGCAGAGAGTTCCACTGCTGAACAGCTCTATAGCCAACCTTGCTGTTTTCCTTCTTACTTGACCTTCATAGAATCAAAGAATTGGAAGAGACCTCATGGGCCATCCAGTCCAACCCCCTGCCAAGAAGCAGGAATATTGCATTCAAATCACCCCTGACAAATGGCCATCCAGCCTCTGCTTAAAAGCTTCCAAACAAGGAGCCTCCACCACACTCCGGGGCAGAGAGTTCCACTGCTGAACGGCTCTCACAGTCAGGAAGTTCTTCACAACAACCCTGCAAAGTAGGTTAGAGACTAACTGCCGATAAGCCGCATTGCTTTCCTGCAAGGAGACAGCAACTATGTCTTCCTAACTGAATCTCACGACAATCCCATAAGGAAGGCCAGAGATGTTATGATGAAGATGTATTATAATACTAGCCATCCCCTGCCATGCATTGCTGTAGCCCAGTCTGTGTATATGTGTTTTGTGTGTGTATGTATATATATGTATTGAGCATGCATTGTAATATATATTTTATTTCTTGGCTTTTTAAGTCTCTTGGATTTTTTAATATCTTCTACTGTGTTTTTCAGTGGTCACTCATTGGCCTGAAAGATGTATTGTGTCCAAATTTAGTGTCAATTCGTCCAGTGGTTTTTGAGTTCTGTTAATCCCACAAACAAACATTACATTTTTATTTACATAGACTAGCCGCCCCCTGCCACGCATTGCTGTGGCCCAGTCTGTGTATATGTGTTTTGTGTGTATACATTTGTGTACATGTGTGTGTTTGCGTATAAATGTGTGTGTGGTTTTGTGCATGCACTGTAATGTATTTTTTATTTTGGGGTTTTTTTAATCTCTTCTGCTGTTTTTGTATGAGTGATGGTCACTCGTTGGCCTGACAGGTGTATTGCGTCCAAATTTGGTGTCAATTTGTCCAGTGGTTCTTGAGTTATGTTAATCCTACAAAGGAACATTACATTTTTATTTACATAGACTAGCTGTCCCCTGCCACGCATTGCTGTGGCCCACATGGAGGTTCTGTGTGGGAGGTTTGGCCCAATTCTAGCATTGGTGGGGTTCAGAATGTTCTGTGATTGTAGGTGAACTATACATCCCAGCAACTACAACTCCATCATTTGGTCCAGATCCATCATTGTTTGAGTGCACAGTGATCTCTGGATGTAGGTGAACGACAACTCCAAAACCAAAGGACACTGCACACCAAACCTTTCCAGTATTTTCTGTTGGTCATGGGAGAACTGTGTGCCAAGTTTGGTTCAATTCCATTGTTGGTGGGGCTCAGAATGGTCTTTGATTGTAGGTGAATTACAAATCCCAGCAACTACAACTCCCAAATGACAAAATTCAATTTTTTAAAGTGAAGGACATACATTGGGTTGTTAAGTGTCTTGTGTCCAAATTTGGTATCAATATGTCCAGTTGTTTTTGAGTTATGTTAATCCCACAAAAGCTTCTCAATGTTTCTCGTTCTCAAAGCATACATTAAATACTCAATCACAGCCAGAAAGCATCACCTACCCGGAGTCACAGGACTGCCACACAATCTTGTTGATCGCTTTGCAGGGGAAAGGACCTGCAAGGAGAAAAGAGACAAGAGATCTGGAATAAGCACTAAGGGCTCACTTTATTTATTTGTTTGTTATTTACTGTATTTGTATACCGCCCTTCACAGCCCTCAGGTGACTCAGGGCAGTTTACAATGGCAACGATTCAATGCCCAAAAAAACCATAAAACATTTAATAACATTAACACATAATATAAACCCATAACAAGAATATTAAAGCATAGATCATTTGCGCCTCTTAATAGTAAACATTGTCCCATCTCGTCGTCCAGTCGTTCCGAATCCTATGTCTTTTAGCTTGCATTTTCAAACGCTTACTCAAACAAACAAGACTTAACTCTTTTCTGAAATGTTAAGAGGGAGGGGGCCGATCTAATGTCCCCAGGAAGAGCATTCCATAGCCGAGGGGCCACCACTGAGAAGGCCCTGTCTCTCTTCCCCACCAAACGTGTTTGTGACGCAGGCGAGATCGAGAGCAGGGCCTCCCCGGACAATCTTAAAGTCCTAGCAGGTTAGAAAGTTATTTCTGATGAAGCCTTGGACTTGTCTGATCCCTCCTTTCCTAAAAATAATAATAATTGGAAACCAGTATCAGAGAGTTCCCCTGGCCAATTTAGCACCCTGTGAATTATTTCCAGAGGCAAGGAAGATGATTTTGTGGCTGGAATTTCTCTTCTTTGTGTAAATAGGTGTGTGTATATCAGGCATGGGCAAACTCCGCCCCTCCAGATGTTTTGGACTTCAACTCCCACAATTCCTAACAGCCGGTAGTCCAAAACACCTGGAGGGTCGAAGTTTCCTGCCTTCCAGTTGTTGTTCATTCGTTCAGTCGTCTCCGACTCTTCGTGACCTCATGGACCAGCCCACGCCAGAGCTCCCTGGCGGCCGTCACCACCCCCAGCTCCTTCAAGGTCAGTCCAGTCACTTCAAGGATGCCATCCATCCATCTTGCCCTTGGTCGGCCCCTCTTCCTTTTACCTTCCACTTTCCCCAGCATAATTGTCTTCTCTAGGCTTTGCTGTCTCCTCATGATCCAATAGCCTGATCCATACTGTATAATTAATGCAGTTTGAGACCATTTAAACTGCTATGCCTCAGTACTGTGGAGTCCTGAGAGTTGTAGTTTCACAAGGTCTTCAGCCTTCTCTGCCCTTCTACAGGATTAATATACCTCGATGACAACTGAACTGCCATGGAATCATGGAAGCAGAAGATCCCGAGCCTTCTCTGTCAAAGGGTGCTGGTGCCCCAACAAACTATAACTCCCAGGATTCCAGAGCATTGCGCCATGGCAGTTACAAGTGGTGTCAACCCGCACTGATTCTGCAGCAAAGATGTACCCGATAAGATCAGGACTACATACGTTGCCCAATAAGACCAGGACTACAACTCATTGCAATCAAGATGATGGAGAGGAAAACAAGCGAAATGCCAGGCCCTGATGGACCGTCGGTCTGGCTCACCATAAGGGATGGTGGATGTGGCTGGTTGCAGAGTCTTTGCCGAGCCGCTTGCCACAGACCAGATTGCGTAGCCCCCGTCGCTGTGCGAGCTCACGATCGTCTGGCCGCTCCGCTCCCAAGCCAGGCTTTCCAGTTGCTGCAGTGGACACCATTATCGTCATCAACTTATCAATCACCACCAGTGGATACAACTAAATGGATATCTTATTTACTTTATGTTTTCCCCATCCTTTACCCAATAAAAGGACTCAAGGCAGCTAACTATAAATATGACACAATTACATTAATATACATAGTATGAATATATATACATATACATACATACATACATATATATATATATATATATATATATATATATATATAAAAAATTAAACCCTTGTGTCCTTGAAGTATTAACATAAAAATATGTATTTTTATTACAATACTTTAAGGACATAAGGGTTGAATTAAATACATTAAAACTGTACAACCATACCATCTTGTTAAAAGAAGCATGCATATATATATATATATATATATATATATATATATATATATACATACACATATATATACATACATACATACACATATACACACACATATATATATGTATATATAAACATATATATATATATACACACACATACATACATACATACACACATATAAATATACATACACACAAATATACATAAACAAACACACACGAATGAATGAATGAGAGGAAAGAACGTGGAATGTAATAACAGCAACAAAAATACATAATATGATTTTTGTTCCCGGGTTATAAATGTCATTTTTTTAATTGATTCCATCCTGAAAACACATAAAAAGTGCATTTAATTGCAGAAAAAAATGTGTTGTTGAAGGCTTTACTGGCCAGAATAGCCTTGCAGCTTCAAAGCTTGGGTGCTTCTGGAACATGGCCATAAACTCCAGAAAACACACAGCAACTCTGCAAAAACTTTGTTTTTGTGCGAGAGACATCCTGCAGCACATTTTGCTCTAGTTTTTCAATGAAGATCTCATCATTGAGTCTCAACCAACTCAATCTAGTTAGTGGCAGCCACAAAACAAAATTTCTGGAGTATAACAACTACTGAATTGCCATATAACCCAGTCCGGTCTGCATTAAAGGAGTCTGAGTTCCTATATAACCCAGTCTGGTCTCCATTAGATGAGTCTGAGTTGCCACATAACCCAGTCCAGTCTGCATTAGACGAGTCTGAGTTGCTGTATGACCCAGTCCGATCTGCATGAGATGAGTTTGAATTGTCATATAACCCAGTCCGGTCTGCATTAGATGAGTCTGAGTTGTTGTATAACCCAGTCTGGTCTGCATTAGATGAGTCTGAATGCCATATAACCCAGTCCAGTCTGCATTAGATGAGTCTGAGTCGCCTTATAACTCAGTCTGGTCTGCATTAGATGAGTCTGAGTTGCCATATAACACAGTCTGGTCTGTATTACATGAGTCTGAGTTGCCACATAACCCAGTCCGGTCTGCATGAGATGAGTCTTGAGTTTCCATATAACTCAGTCCGATCTGCATTAGATGAGTCTAAGTCACCATATAACCCAGTCCGGTCTGTATTAGATGAGTTTGAGTCACCATATAACCCAGTCAAGTCTGCATTAGATGAGTCTGAGTTGCCATATAACCCAGTCTGGCCTGCATGAGATGACTCTGAGTCACTATATAACCCAGTTCGGTCTGCATGAGATGAGTCTGAGTCACCATATAACTCAGTCCGATCTGCATTAGATGAGTCTGAGTCGCCATAAAACCCAGTCCGAGCTGCATTAGATGAGTCTGAATTGCCATATAACCCAGTCCAGTCTGAATCTGTTTCTCGATATTGTGTCATATGTACGAACCTTACAAAATAGATCTGACATACAAGGCACACATGTGTTTTTGCACAGCCCTAATGCCTATAATAATATTCAGGGGACCAGTTGTGTGGAACTGACCCAGGTTACTTCAAAACAAAAGTGAGAATTTCAGATGCACAGGAAGGTCTTCAATCCTGCCAAACAGATAGGTCATTACCTGGTTGCCCAAGAAAAGATGGCTTGCGCCCCGGGTGCTCTTGTCCCACAAAACCATCAGGCCTCGGCTGTAACCGATCAAGATCTTGGTGGGGTCTCGAGGGTGTTCCTGGAGAGATTCCACCGGACCTAGAGCCTTGCCACAGCGATAGTCCTCCGGAACCCTGGAAAGACGAGGAGCATCAGGATCCGGAACCCATCTCTAGGAACTTCTAGGTCAGGCATAGGCAAACTTGGGCCCTCCAGGTGTTTTGGACTTCAACTCCCACAATTCCTAACAGCCTACCGGCTGTTAGGAATTGTGGGAGTTGAAGTCCAAAACACCTGGAGGGCCCAAGTTTGTAATCTGGGTGTATAACCCAGCAAAGCTCACCTTTGCATGACCTCGTCCTGGTAGAGAGTCCGGTCCTCCAGGAGCGCCAAGGAGGGGAGTTCGAGGGCGTAAATGCCACCCCCTTCGGTCCCCAGGTAGGCCACATCGCCCGCCGACTGCAAGGAGATGACCGTCACCCGAGTGATGCTGGGAGGAGAGCTGCGGAGACAGGAAGAAGGACTGTATTGACTCGAATCTCGTAAGTAAAGGTAAAAGTTTCCCCATTAAGTCTAGTTGTGTCCGACTCTGAGAGGGTGGTGCTCATCTCCATTTCTAAGCTGAAGAGCCAGCGTTGTTCATAGACACCTCCAAGGTCATGTGGCTGCATGGAGCAGTACCTATTGATCTACTCACATTTGCATGTTTTCAAACTGCTGGGTTGACAGAAGCTGGGGATAACAGTGGGAGCTCACCTCGCTCCCCAGATTTGACCTGCCAACCTTTCAGTCAGCAAGTTCAGAAACTCAGCAGTTTAACCCGTTGCACCACTGCGAGCTCCTTAGGAAGGCTGTTAGGAATTGTGGGAATTGTAGTCCAACTTGGAGGGCCGAAGTTGGCCCATGTCTGATCTATACAAAACAGTTTGGCCCCACTCAAACTGCCACAATCAATGCAACGGAATTGTGGTACTTGTAGTTTGACATGGTTTTTATAACTTTCTTGGCCAACCAGGGCTGGTGCTTCCCCAAACTACACATCCCAGGATTCCATACACTGAGGCACGGCAGTTAACGTAGTGTCGAACTGCACTAATTCTACAGTGTAGATGCATTGGGTTAATCAGCTGCATTAAAATCACTACTGACTGAAAAGTCAGCCCAGGTCGGAGTAAGCTCCCGACCATTTGTCTAGCTTGCTGTCGACCTTTGCAGCCCGAAAGGCAGTTGCATCTGTCAAGTAGGAAATTTAGCTACCTATGCGGGAGAGGCTAATTTAACTAATTTACGAYGCCATAAAAATCTCCAGCAGTGTGCAAAAGAATGAGGAAGTACTCCGTCGGTGTCACAAGTGGACAGTGAAGCGACAGCTCCCCCCGGTGGCCAGAATTTGAACATAACCTCATGAAGCTGGACCTTTGCAGCCCGAAAGACAGTTGCATCTGTCAAGTAGGAAATTGAGGTACCTATGCGGGAGAGGCTAATTTAACTAATCTACAATGTCATAAAAATCTCCAGCAGTGTGCAAAAGAATGAGGAAGTACTCCATYGGTGTCACAARTGGACGGTGAAGYGACAGCTCCCCCRGTGGCCAGAATTTGAACATACCCTCATGAAGCTGGAAAGTTAAATAGYCTCTGTGTGTCTGTCKMTATATGTTGTGTGTCTATGGCATTSAATGTTTGCCATGTATATATGTACATTGTGATCTGMCCTGAGTCCCCTGYGGGRTGAGAAGGGYGGAATATAAATACTGTAAACAAACAAACAAACAAATAAATAAATCCCCAGATAGCCCTTGAGAAGCAGATTTCCCAAGTCAGCAGGAAAGAAAGGACAGAATTGSGTGAAATGAGAGAAGGAGGAATGAAAAGGAAGGGAAGRGGTGTAGGATGGAAGGAAGGAGGAATAGAAAGRGGGGAAGGAAGGAGGAGTAGAAAAGAAGAATGGAAGGAGGAGTGGAAAGGAAAGGAGGGCAGGCAATGAGTACTTAGCGTTGTCGAACCCTGGACGTCCGGGGAGGACGAAGTTCCGGGTCTCCTCCAAATGGGAATATCCATCCTTAAGGTAGATCTCCCAGAGGTGGAGCGTGTTGTCGTCCAAAAGGGAGAGTAGCCGGCCCTGCGGAGGAGAAGGAATGCTCAAAACTTTAGCCAAAGCGCTCATTTGGCACCACTGACTTATTTCCAAGCGTGCAACTTCTATACAGTACAGTCAATACACTTTGACTCCACTTTCACTACCCAATGCTCAGTGCTATGGGACCCAGAGAGTTCTAGTTTGGTAGAGAAAGATCCAGGCCTTGCAAAACGACAAATCTCAGGATCCCAGGGCATGGAGCAACACCAGTTTAAGTGCCGTCAAACTACCATGTAGATCAGGCATGGCCAAACTTGGGCCCTTCAGGAATTGTGGGAGTTGAAGTGCAAAACACCTGCAGGGCCAAAGTTTGCCCATGCATACTATATATGCACCCACAGATAATGCAAATTCTCTTACCTGCCCAGGTAAGAAGTGCATCTGGGTGACGGTGGCCGTCTCTTTGTGCAGCCCAGTGAATTCCACTCCGGGAGCCCCATATCTGCAGGAAGTTTGGAGTCAAGGAATAATCCAGGATTTGCAAAAGCGGGGAAGGATACAGGCAGAGGTTCTGCCAGCCTCTGCCACTCACTCCAAGAAATATGTATTACCTGCATAATGCAACAGTGAAGCATACAAAGTCATGCTGCACCCACTCAGGGGGCACCTACACCAGGTATGGGCAAGTCCAGGCCCAGATGTGGCCCCTTGGGCTCTTTTCTCAGGCCTCCCTCTCTCTTCCTCCTTCCATCCTTCCCTCACTCCCTTTCGTCCTTCCTTCTCTTTTTCCATCCTTCCTTCCTTCCATCTTCCCTTCCTTCCCTCTTTCTCCTTTCATCCCTCACTCCCTTTTCTCCTTCCTTCTCTTTTTCCGTCCTTTCTTCCTTCCTCCCATCTTCCCTTCCTTCCTTCCCTCCCTCTTTCTTCTTCCATCATTCCCTCACTCCCTTTTGTCCTTCCTTCCATCTTTCTTTCCTTCCCTCTTCCCTCCCTCTCCTTCCATCCTTCCCTCACTCCCTTTAACCTTCCTTTCTCTTTTTCTGTCCTTCCTTCCCTCTTCCCTCCCTCTTTCTCCTTCCATCCTTCCCCTTCTCTTTAGTCCTTTTTTCTTTTTCTGTCCTTCCTTCCATCTTTCCTTCCTTCCCTCTTTCTTCTTCCATCCTTCCCTCACTCCCTTTCGTCCTTCCTTCTCCTTTTCCATCCTTCCCTCTTCCCTCCCTCTTTCTTCTTCTATCCTTTCCTCACTCCCTTTTGTCCATCCTTCTCTTTTTCCATCCTTCCTTCCTTCTTTCTTCTTCTATCCTTTCTTTTGTCCATCCTTCTCTTTTTCCATCCTTCCTTCCTTCCCTCCCTCTCCTTCCATCCTTTCCTCACTCCCTTTAACCTTCCTTCTCTTTTTCCATCCTTCCTTCCTCTTTCCTTTTTTCCTCTCTTTCCTTCCATCCTTCCTCCTCCTCCCTTTCGTCCTTCCTTCTCCTTTTCCTTCTTCCTTCCCCTTTTCCTTCCCTTCCCCCTCCTCCTTCTTCTTTCATCCTTTCCTCACCCCTTTGTCCTTCCTTCTCTTTTTCTGTCCTTCTTCATCTTTCCTTCCTTCCTCTTCTCTTCCTCCCTCTTTCTCTTCCATCCTTCCCCCTCCTTCTCCTTCCATCCCTCAATTTCGTTTTCTCCTTTTCCTCTTTCCTTCCATCCATCTTTCCTTCCATCCATCCTTTCCCCCTCCTTTTCATCCTTTTTCCTTTTTCCATCCTTCCTTCCACCCCTCTTCTCTTCCTCCCTTTTTCTCCTTTCATCCTTCCCCCTCCCTTTCTCCTTCCATCCTTCCCCCTCCTTCTCCTTCCATCCCTCAATTTCGTTTTTTCTCCTTTTCCATCCATCTTTCCTTCCATCCATCCTTTCCCCCTCCCACACTTTTGTCCTTTCTTCTTTTTTCCATCCATCCTTCCTATCTTTCCTTCTTTCTCGTTTTCCTTCCTTCCATCCATCTTTCCTTCCTTCCCTCTTCCTCCTTCCATCCTTCCTTCTCTTTTTCCGTCCTTCCCTCTTCCCTCCCTCCTTCTCCTTCCACCCTTCCCTTCCTTCCTTCTATCCCTCCTTCCCTTCCTCCATTGTGTCCTTCCTTCCTTCCCTCTTCTCTTCCATCACTGGGCAGCCAGTCCTCCGAGGAGAGAGTGCTAGTATGTGGCCCCCAAGTTAGAAAGTTTGCCTATGCCTGATCTACACTATGGAATGAATGCAGGTTGACCCCACTTTCTGCCAAAGAGTGCAGATGCCTCAAACTACAACTCCCAAGATTCAAACAGCATTGATTCAACTATTATGGGTTCAGATTTTCTCCTTCCTTCTCCTCTGTCTATCTGGATGCTTGCTAAGCAGCGTCAGCATTGGAAAGATGGAGAAGGAGGGCAGACTTTCAATGCCGGGTTGCAATAATGTGTTAAAGAATGTAAACAGAGTAGACGATGGGAAAGAGGGCAAGTGCTTCCATCCAAAGCCGAAACGGACAATTCCAGTCCACTATTTCAGGGTGATCTGGTCGGGTTTTCGGCTCCCCGTCTCAAACAAAGCGCCGCTTGTCCGAATCCCGCACAAAAACGGGTCTCCAGGCAACCGTCCTCTTGTTTGCACGGTCGAAAGGATCCCCGCCGTTCCCCGGCGACCGCACTTTTTGCACAGAGAAAGCGTGCAAAGGCCATGAAAAGCAAAGCTGGAAGTAACCCAGGATTCAGCTATAGCAGAGCTTTCCAAAATGTGTGTCACCCAAAGCGCAGAAATGCATTGCATGGAAAAAAGGCTCCCCACAAAGAAAGGCCGCCTGGCAGGATGACACAGTCAAAGCCCTCCCAACAGATGGCCATCCAACCTCAGTCCAAGGACCTCCAGAAACTGAGACTCCACTGGATTCCCAGGCAGTTCATACTTCACTAGGGTTTAAAAGAGGCCCATAAAGAGCATCTAGTCCAACCCCCTTCAGTCAGGCAGGAAGACATGGTCAAAGCCTTCCCGACAGATAGCTATCCAACCTCAGTCCAAGCACCTCCAGAAAAGGAGACTCCGCTGGATTCCCAGGCAGTTAATACTTCAGTAGGGTTCAAAGAGACCCTCAAAGAGCATCTAGTCCAACCCCCTTCAGTCAAGCAGCAAGACAGAAACAAAGCCCTCCTGGCAGATGGCCATCCAGCCTTAGTCCAAGCACCTCCAGAAAGGAGACTGTACTGAATTTCCAGGCAGTCCACACTTCATTAAGGTTCGAAGAGGCCCCCAAAGGTCATCTAGTCCAACCTCCTTCAGTCAGGCAGGAAGACAGAGGCAAAGCCATCCCGACAGATTGCCATCCAACTTCAGTCAAAGCCCTCCCAACAGATGGCCATCCAACCACAACCCAAACAACTCCAAAGAAGGAGTCTCCACTGGATTCCCAGGCAGTTCATACTTCAGTAGGGTTTGAAAGAGGCCCCTAAAGGGCATCTAGTCCATCCCCCTTCAGTCAGGCAGGAAGTCACAGGCAAAGCCCTCCCAAAAGATGGCCATCCAACCACAACCCAAACAACTCCAGAGAAGGAGACTCCACTGGATTCCCAGGCAGTTCATACTTCAGTAGGGTTTGAAAGAGGCCCCTAAAGAGCATCTAGTCGAACCCCCTTCAGTCAAGCAGGCACAGGCAAAGCCCTCCCGACAGATGGCCATCCAACCTCAGTCCAAGCACCTCCAGAAACAGACTCCTCTGGATTCCCAGGCAGTTCATACTTCACTAGGGTTCAAAGAGGCCCCCAAAGGGCATTTAGTCCAACCTCCTTCAGGAAAACAGAATCAAAGCCCTCCCAGCAGATAGCCATCCAACATCAACAACACCATTGCAACGTCCAGCTCTCTACCTTCGTCTAGGAAAAAAATCCAAATTGCACAAACCCTGCAAAGATGATGATAATGGATTGCTTTAATTAGCAGGATATGGGCCACAGCTGTAACTTGGGGAAGTATCTGGATTGCATTGTCTTTTTTCCCCCTTCTCATCTGGGATTGTAAAGCCACAACCTCCATTCACAGCTGCGCTTTCTTCTCCAAAACGGGCGCTTTTGTTTTCCTTTTTCGTCGGCTGTGACCTAGTTTTGGAAGAAGACACACTACGCGTCTCGCGCAACACAAAGTACGCTTCACGGGACACCATTTCGGAGACCCGTCTCTTCCCGCATTTGAACACGTTGCACGTTGACAGCACTTCAATACCAATTGAGTAGCATTTGGGAGAAACCCGGGACCTGTAGTTTGACTGGGGCTTTGGGAGACATAATTCTAAGTCCATACAAAGACACCAATCCCAGATAAGGCAGCCAAGGTAATCCCACTCCTGGGATTTGTAGTTTCAACAAGGCACTGCAGCATTCCAGCGAGGATTTTCAAATACCCAGATTCCAGGATGATGCAATCCAAGAGTGATCCCACTCTCCTTCCCTGCCGTTAAATAATGGAAGGCGTCCCGCAGACATCTGGGATTTATAGTTTGGAATCAGATTTCAAAGTACACCCCCCATGAAACCATAAATCCCAGAATAATGCTATTGGGGTGATGCTACTCCTTTTGCCTGGCCAAAAATAATGCAAGTCTTCCAGTGGACACCTGGGATTTATAGTTTGGACTGAAGATTCAAAGTACACCCCAGTGCAACTATTAATTCCAAAATAATGCAATCAGGGGTGATCTTATTCTCCTTGTCTAGCCACGACTGATGGGACGCATCCTGCAGACACCTGGGATTTGTACTTTGGACACAGAATTCAAAGCACACCCCCATGAAACTATAAATCCCAGAATAATGCCATTCCAGAAACCATGGGATTTGTAGTTTCAATAAGACACTTGGGCTGTCCATCTGAGGACTGCAAGTACACAGTGAAACTACAAATCCCCAGATAATGTAATTGAGAGTGATCCCACTCTCCTTCCCTGGTCTGAAATGACGGAATACATACTTTGGACACCTGGGATTGATAGTTTGGGTTCAAAATTGCAAGTACTCACCAAAACCACGAATCCCAGAATAATGAAATCAGGGGTGAACGATGGAAGATATCCAGTGGATACATGGGATGTATAGTTTGGGTTCAGAATTCAAAGTACAGTACTGCCTGTGAAACTATAAATCGCAAAATAATGCAATTAGGGGTGACACTACACCACTGAAAGAATGGAGCGGAGCCATCCTGGGATTTGTAGTTTCAACAAGGGCTTTGGGGCAGAGAATTCCAAGTACAAAACTACAAATCCCAGCACCATGCAACTGGGGTGTGTGTGTGTGTGTAAGTATATGTATGTAGGCATGTATATAGATTATATAATACATACATACATGCATACACACATATACACACACCCCAGTTGCATGGCACTGGGATTTGTAGTTCCATTTGGACATATTATTATTATTATTACTATTACTATTATTATTACGTAAAGGTAAAGGTTTCCCCCCAATATTAGGTCCAGTCGTGTCCGACTCTGGGGGT